AGTAAATTCGAAAAGCTCACGGTGTGCTCACTTTTTACTCCCCAAACGCTCGGAAATTTCTAAGAGTGTGGATCTAATCTATGTATCATCTACCTAAGCTTGGCATTGATGGTCTCAGGGCAAGACTTGGGAGTATCGTTGGTCCCGACGTGCAAGACCACCGACACCTCTTCGGCTGACTCCAACGACACCATCGCCCATATCTCGTCTGATCTCGCCTGATATGTCCAACCCTTGCTCCAGAAAACGTAGCGAAAGTGATCGGCTCCTTAACACCTGAGTCCTTCCCAATAGCTGCCTCCAGATGCCTGACGTGGGTCTCCAACGAAGTGCACAGGTCAGGATTTTTAAAGTCTCCTCTCGGCTTGACCTCGCCTGCTCGTTCCCCCTTCCACTTTGAGCTCATCCTCCGATTTCCCATCTAACATAACTCTTGTCATGTTAGATGGCTATCTAACATGACAAGAATCATGCTAGATGGCTGATGCCGTGGATGACGCCGGCGTCAGGGTTCCCCGGGAGTCGCGGATCTGGAAGCAGATCGAAATTGCGCAAGCCACGAGCCTCACTTGGTTCGAGTTTATATTTATCCCACAGTTCCCCCAAACACCTGTGCCTGGGAACGAAACGCGAAGCAGATAAAGGATGACGCTGGACTCCGCGGAGTCCAGTCGGGGAAGGAACACCCGTGCAGTCACCATGCATCTCGCCGTCCTTCTCGGTCTTTTCGCATCGAGTGCTTTGGCCCAGCTCCCGTGTCCGATCCCGCCAGCTTACGGCAGACCCAGTGAGTCCACAGGCATAACTACGTGTAAAACGTATATCGTTGAGACTGCATCGCTTGATGATTATCTTGTTCCGAGTCGAATTTGAAACATTGAATTATTGCAGCCTTGGATCATCATGAATTCTGGAGCTTGTAGGAAAGAATATCATCTGAATCTGTCATTCTGGAATTTCAAGATATGATTAATTTTAATGCTTCAGAATTCCATTAAGGTGCCAGAACTCACACCTCGATTTCAATGGGAGATCAGTTGACTGCCTCGTTACCAGTCCGAACGTGAATCCTTTCGAGGCTTCCAAAAGCCAAGTCTTAGAATTGATAATGGTTCTATTTCTATCACCTGCTTCCTATTTTCTCCAGCCGCACAATGCCCAAATGATTGGGAAAAAGTGGGAAACGTCTGCTACTGGTACCCGCTGGAGGTGAGGAACTGGGCCGATGCAGAAGATCTTTGCCAGCAGAGGGGAGGACATCTCTTGAGCATCAACTCCGCTGCAGAACTCAACACCGTCATGAGTCAATTCCTTCATCCATTCTTCTTTGCATTTTTTTAAATATTCTCGTTGATGTCTTGGATGTGGTGGAACAAACAGGTTCATTTGTGTGTTCTAACGAGGAAAATGAGGACAGAATGTATACCTGTAGATTGCCTTGAAAGTGAAAAATCCTCGTTTTCTGTGGGAGAATGGTAACTTCGCATACGTGACCAACAATCATTAGTTAGATAAGTGGTTGATATTAGGGGGCTACTAGGTGTTGGAATGAGGATTATTTACATCAGTACCTATGTCTGTTGCGCAATTTCCAGCTCGATTATTCCACCGCGAAAGTGCATATGGTCTGTTCTCCACCATCTCAGAATTCAAATAAATCGGACATGCAGTTGGATTATACTGAAAATAGAGTAAAGCCAAAAATGGAAAAATCTATAATAGTTTGAAATTGGCCACTCTGGCAAAAAATTTATGTATTTTTTGTCCTGAATTGTCGGTTTGTTAATACCTGAAATTAATGCTGAAGGAATGGGTAATAAAATCACGCTAATATATACAACGTTTCTGCTTGGTTGGAAAATTTTCAATTTGAAAATTCTCGTTATTTCAAATATAAATAACTCAAATGATTCTCTGTGCGGGAATCGTGACACCTGTGTCACATTTGGGGGGAGGGGAGTGGCGAATCTGTGTATATATGAATCAATATACCAAGTGATATAAGGTGATATAATCCCTACATACTCGTATTTCCTCTTTCAAATCGGAGAGACGGTTATAAACAAATTAATGGGTAAATCAAAGAAAGGAAAGTTTAAGTGCTGAACACTTGAGGCCTTTCTTGTCCCAATGCCGAATTGAAACCAATCTACCTTGGCCCATTTTTTGGCTGCAGATACGATTTTGCTTGTTAGTAATTTCACCATAATCCGACCGCATGTTAGATTTGATCGAATTCTGAGATGATCGAGAGCAGACCATTGCCGATCTTGTGGTGGAATGATCCACCTGTAAATTGTATGTTTCAGACAAGAGCGCTGACAATAATCTTATCCTCATTTCACCACCTCATAGCCTTTCAATGTCGAATGTTCAAGTAACTTATCACTGTTCGTGGCATACAGGAAAAAAAAAACTTTTTCCGTTGAAAAATTTTTCTGCTTCTTTTTTTAATCACCCCATGGATCTCTCATCCATATACTTCATTATGTAGTTCATTTATAGTTTAGTTAAAGGTTCATAGCTGTACGAAAAGTTCGCTTATATGATAGTCTCCCTCTTCAACGTCGAGATTTCATCCCATATATAATCAAAAGCATAAAAGATTAGTGGCTCTTGAGATACAAGGTTAGCCGGAAAAATGTACCCCATTTCAAATTTATAAACCTTTGGTCATTTCTAACTGATCTGTTTCTTTCATCTTAGATTATAATGTTGACAGTCCGGAGGTTTTTTTGGCGAATTTTCAAGGTAAATGAACCAACAAGGACTAAAATATTGAGCAAATAGTAAAATAGTAGAAGTCTTCAAAGTCAATAGTGGAGACACGAAGACGTTACTGCCGTCATTTTCTTGTTCGGACGGCACAAACCAAGAAATCAACATGTTGCAAAATGCTGTTGCAAGGTCTGAGGAACAGGAAACAGTTATGAATAATAAAAAAGGAGCATCTGGAAGGCGAAGAACTGCTGGGACTGGAGCAAACATCGCAGCAGTGAGCTTCTCTTATGCTGAGCCCTCGTGAACCGCCCCGAAGAATAAAACGAGAACTCGAGGAATACATTTCCAATTGTTTCCCAACGAAATTCGAATAGAAAAAAAGAAGCTTATGGATGTTGATGAGCGGGCTCGCATGGACATGTGCAGGTGGTCCATAGAAATGATGGAGGGTGGTGAAACCCGAATGCAATATGATTAGTTCACAATTGTTTCCTTTTCTCTGAATCTTGCAAAAGTGATTTATATATTGTTTTCTAGGTTGATGCCGTCCGAATATTGAAATGATGGCTGTAACGTCTTCATGGCTCCAATACTTTGTCGCTGGAGATTTCTACCACTTTTTTGTTGTTCTATACTTCAGCCCATGTTTGTTCATTTACTCAGAAATTTTCACCAAAAAAAGTGTGGACACTTCGGAATCTTTTCCGAAGTGTCCACAACGTAGCCTATACTGAAAGAAACAGATCGGATAGAAATGACCGAAGTTATATAAATTTGAAATGGGTCCTTTTTTTGGCTATCCCGGTATTCGCTCCTACATCAGGCCCCTTGGCCCCCCTTCAGACAGGTACTTCGACGACATCTGGATCGGCCTGAACTCACAGGCGTCCGGAGGCAGCACCTTCGAATGGAGCGATGGCTCCCCGGTCGATTTCACCAACTGGAACGAGGGAGAGCCGAATTCACCCGAGGAAATGTGCACGGAGATGATGCACTGGACCGACAATCCCAGTTCGCATGGGAAATGGCTCGATAACTTCTGCAACTTGNTGTGGACACTTGGGAAAAGATTCCGAAGTGTCCACAACGTAGCCTATACTGAAAGAAACAGATCGGATAGAAATGACCGAAGTTATATAAATTTGAAATTAGTCCTTTTTTTGGCTATCCCGGTATTCGCTCCTACATCAGGCCCCTTGGCCCCCCTTCAGACAGGTACTTCGACGACATCTGGATCGGCCTGAACTCACTGGCGTCCGGAGGCAGCACCTTCGAATGGAGCGATGGCTCCCCGGTCGATTTCACCAACTGGAACGAGGGAGAGCCGAATTCACCCGAGGAAATGTGCACGGAGATGATGCACTGGACCGACAATCCCAGTTCGCATGGGAAATGGCTCGATAACTTCTGCAACTTGGAACGACGAGTAGTCTGCAAGCTTGACCTAGGTCTGATAATTCAAAAAAGGAACTTTCTGATATTGAAACTTATCGATATTTCAGGCTCTCAATTAAAGAAATACTTTTAAATGTTTGCAAAGGAAAATACATATATATTTCAAGACCTATCCATAGATATTTTTTAGAAATTGCATGAAAGAGCTGTGACAGTTGTATAGAACTTGAATGAAAATGTTTCGATTTCAGAGCTCTGCATAAATATACTTTAAGAATAAACTTGCATAGAATTTCAATATATTTTCTTTTTAGAGCAGTGACGAATTTTCGCAGTCTGTCCAGATATTTCTTCATGCTTCCTATTACTGAAAATTTGTTTAAGGGGGTCTCTCCCTTACGTTGTCGTACTGCCAGACGCTTACCTTGCCTCGGCGGACATTGGACTTCGGAGGGAGACTGATGCCGATGCACAAGCTGTCGCCGGCCACGGACACGGAGAACGGCTTCCGATACAGACTCACGAGGGCCAACGATTTCACGGCATACGGCAGCGACATCCAGAATCTCATCTTCCAAGTCACTTATTACGACGATCGGCATCTACGTTTCACGGTCCGGCCATCCGAAATTGCTTCCTTATTTTTGCTAGGTTCACTGAGATTTTTGAAAATGCAATTCACTACTGAAGTAACACTGTATGTGACGGAGAAAAGCACTTGATTGCGCAATACTAATTAATAGCTTAATCCTCAATTAAGGTAAATTAAAAATATTATGAAATGCACTCCATTATTGTTCACGTACATTTCAAAGGGGATCCCAATCGATCGATTTATATATCATTCGAATAATCGATTAGAATTAAATCGCGACCTGACAGAGACACCGTGGTAATCGGAATATAACACCTTAATCTCCCCTTGAATATGTAATGAATGAAGGACGTTTTCTCCACTTAAATTTGAATTTCGTTTTCTTCGACAGATTCAAAGGGAATTATGATTTAATTAAAATTCAATTAGAAATTAGAATTCAATTGATTGAGTAATGGTAAAAGGAGCTGACAATTAATCAGGTACATATTTATGAGCAATTAATAGCCCAGCATTTCTGATCTCAGGTTAGAACGACTGAGGTTCATGCACTTCATCCCACCGACAAGGTCTGCTTCTAAGCTGGTGGATTAAATAAATGAAAATATTCCATCTTCGTAAAATTGAAAATGATCAACAGTTCCTTCAAGCTCAAGTGACACTCTTGGGAATAAGGGAAAAACAGGATGACGAAAGACTTGCATCCTTCAAGAAAAAAATATGTTAAGCAAGGTGTTACAATTTCATGCTTGAATTTTTACCCAAGCGGCAAATCACTGGCAATGTCTTTTGCTTTCCTCGGTTAAGAATGCTGGAAAGATCGAAGGAAAGACTTGAAGGCGGAGAAAACCGGAACAAAAACTTGAGTCCGGCTATCAAAGAATGAAAGAAATCAGTTTTCTTTTATTGGAGAGGAGGCGTGCGCTGCCCTCTGGTTTAAATACAGTTTCTGCTATTGTGCACCATCGACGCCTTTATATACCGTGCAGGGATGAGGAAACCTCATGGAGTTGATAGGCAATTCATTTCAGCAATTGATCGGAGTGAGGAATATGAGGCGTCAGTACCACGACCGCCTTGGTCTCTGCTTTTATATTTATTTTCCTGCATACAATTTGCTTTCATTATGCAAATTTTCATCTTTCCTGTTACTTTTGCTCAACCCTCATTGAAAACTTTCTCACTCAGCTGCATTCCTAACTGAACAGATCCGGGATGCAGACAGAGATCGCTACGAGGTGCCAGTCCCTCTGAATCACGATATCCAAACCCGCTTCGATCTGACTTACGCAGTGGACATGGGAGATGACTCCATCGGGAGCCCCTTCCACTTTTCCATCCGAAGGCAGGACACCGGTACCGTCGTGTGAGTGCACAAATTCAACGATTTAGAGAAAAATCTCATCGTTTTGAGACATATCGTTGTTGAAGGTCGCAAAAGTCAATGGAGGGTAGGTTTTTCCTGTACAACTATCCAAGGAAAGTTTGCTTAAAAACATTTCAGAAACTTTTTCATTTGGTCGTACCCTGCTGTGATTACCAACCTGTGACTCTGGAGCATTTTGTTTCTAGCTTCGACACTTCGCCAGGTGGGCTGATTTACGAGGACCAATTCCTCCAGATCGTTACCGAACTCCCTTCTGAAGATCTTTATGGATTTGGGGAAAACGTTCACGCGGCATTTCGTCATGACTTCTCTTCTCGGAGGACCTTTCCCCTCTTCACCAGAGATGAATTCCCGAACGAAGCAAGTCTTTACTATCCCTTTTAGTATCCTACTTCCATTGCTTCACTGTTCTTAGAGTACTTGGGGTACTTTTTTAGTTGCATGCCGAAGAAATTACAGAAGTTAATTCTGTGACCATTTGGATTTACTAAAAGCACAACTCTTCGAAAGAAAACGCTACAAGATGTAGTTATTTATGTTATTTAGTAGTTACGTAGTTATTTTTGGTGTTTATACAAGTATTACGATACCATCCTAGATGCACTTCACACCTCAACCTTTTCGCAGGGGGACAAGAATGTATACGGCGTCCATCCATTCTACGAGGTGATGGAAGACAGTGCGGGCAACACCCACGGCGTTTTCCTCCTAAACAGCAACGCGATGGAATACGAGACGCAGCGGCTGAATGGAGACCCGATTTTGACCCTTAGATCCATCGGGGGCATTCTCGACTTCCACTTTTTCCTCGGTCCCTCCCCGGCTGACGTCAGTCGACAATACACTCAAGTCAGTACTCATTTCTTTTTTCCAGTGAAGTTATAATGAGATCGTAATTAGCGTTTGGTAATGGTTCGTATTTGCTTCGTTGCTTGTACAAGCCTTTTCCCAGAGAATAAAGTCAATGACTATCCTGTTTGGTCATGAACATGGGACAAATGATGTCACCGTCGTTGGAGCTGCATTCCTAAATCATCTTTCATCTTTCCCTCTCTTTCTGCATGGTAGATATGTAAGATTAGTATATGCCTAATGCTCGGACCAAACAGTCTAGACATCGTATCAATATACTAGTATTGAGGATAGAGTTGAAAAAAATTTCGAACGTGATTAGAGCAGCTGACACAGAACTAAGGGACGATGAAATACGTCATTCAACACGAGTGCAACCAGACGACAAAGAATCAGATTCTCAGCTTCGTGAGATGCCGATGATGACGGAGACGCACCACCGAGTTAACTGACAGTAACAATATGTTCATGTGGATTATGTAGCTGATCGGTCGCCCGTTCCTGCCACCCTACTGGTCTCTGGGATTCCAACTCAGTCGGTGGGGTTTCCGCACGTTGGATGACTTGAAGGCTGCCGTGGGGAGGACACAAAACGCCAACATCCCCCTAGTAAGATTTTCCTCTCTTTTTGCTCCTGCAGTAAGGACAGGAGGGAAGGGCCCCCCCCTCGAGGAGGTCATAGAAGCTTCCTCCCCTCCTCCTTCACGACGCTCGGTCCCCTATCAGCATATCGTTTGTTGTTGGCACCAGTTCGCAGTTCAACTCTATTGTAGTCACCTACCCTATTGTCACTAGTTCTTCAGTTCTGTTTTAAACACTGACAGTACAAGAGAGAAAGTGAGAAACTCCGTAGTAAAAGGTAGTTGCTAGCATTGCTCGTGCTGGCGATGGACCTTGACTTCTTTGAGATTGGGTTAAACTCAGAAATTCGGGGGGGGGGGGGAAATACCATACAGATAATCACGTCCCTTTCATTTCCTTGTCAGAAATGCATTTAGTTTCGTTTCTGTCCATTAAATTGGATTGATATCGAGATTATTTCTGTGCAGTGCATGTATTCACTAGACCTATTGATATGGATTGAAACGCAGGCATTGCGTTTCAACGAGTACAGTTACAGCATTACATTAAACAGGGTGTTCAAAAAGTCCCTGTGCACTTGGTACAAACGGAATAGTAACAACGTACAAAAAAAAAGTTATACAAAAAATGCTGGAAATGGTCCCCTCGTGCCTCCAGACATGCACCAACAAGTTGAATCTTGTTTCTCATGGGTATTTTTTGTGGTGCTTTACGTGGCAATGTGTAGACCCCTCATAATCTTGACGACTGCAAACGTGTGAAAATCGCAACATGGTGCTGCCGCTACAGGCCCATATTCCTTTAGTGGAACATGTTTCCCGTAGTGGAGGTGAATATCGAGAGGATGTGAAACTGAATTTTGCGGAAGCTTTCCCTAATACTCCCGTACTACACCGAAATGCAGTGTTAATTGGCAATTTCCGTGAAAATGGATCGATTGCGGACGTGGCAAGATCCGGTAGGACGCCAGACCGATGTGTTGATGAGTATCTTCAGAAACAAGATTCAACGTGTTTCTGCATGTCTCGAGGCACGTGTGGCCATTTCCAGCATTTGTTATAAGTCCCAGGTACCTAGGATTCCGTTTGTACCAAGTGCACAGTGACTTTTTAGACACCCTATACGTGTGCAGATATTGGAAGCTTTACATGGGTCCCGAAAGTCAGACCCCGACGTAGCATTGTCTAGTCTTCTCACCGTCGTTTATTGATGCAAAAGTAATTATGATATCATATTCATCAAGGACATCGTATACGCGGACATTGACTACATGATCGAAAGGAAGATCTTCACGTGGGACCCAGTCAGGTGGGCCGGATTCCCCGAGTACGTCCGCGAGTTGAGGAGTCAGGGAATCCGTTTTGTCATCATCTTGGTCAGTGCATCTTTCCAGCAAGAGTCTCATTTTCATGGACGGCTCCTCATCATTATATGTTACACATGCAGGACCCTGCCATAGTATTTGACTTCACGAATAACTACCCCCCGGCGTTGAGAGGACAGCAAGCAGACGCGTTCATCAAATGGTACAACGAATCCTACATCCCCAGCGATCAAGAGTCGCACGCCGGGGAATACATGGTCGGATACGTCTGGCCGTCGGATAAAACCGTCTTCCCCGACTTCTTCAAGTCTTCTACCAAAGAATGGTGGAAAGACGAGATCAGGCGCTTCCACGAGGAAATCGAGTTCGCCGCGCTCTGGATCGACATGAACGAACCGTCCAATTTCGGGACGAACGAAGAGAAGCCGCATAATTGGCCGGAGGGAGTTCCCCCCTGGAGCCTGAAATGCAGAGATAGGAGATGGGACAACCCGCCATACAAGACCAAGACGATTTACGCTGGAGAAAACAAAAGTGGCACCTTCACGGTGATTCGCCGCTTCCTTGCTCCGAAAATCAGATCATCATTTTATTCATTTACCAAGTAGAAACGCATTGTTCCCTCGTAGGACAAGACCATCTGCATGACTGGGAAGCAGATCGACGATACAAATCCAGGCGATGTGAAGGAATACCTCACATACGACACGCACTCCCTCTATGGTTGGAGCCAAGGACTCCCAACTCTCTTGTACGTGTAATATTCATGATTATTTATTTCCCAAACGAATGGAAGAGTTGGTCCAAAATATGGTGGACAAGGACCATGAGTGACTCTTCGTAACTATGAGTGAATGTTGATATTGACCCTTTCAGCCCCAAAGTAATTCCTGGCCATAAATTGCTTCAGCTTAAAATTTGAACTTGAAATATAAGCTTGGGAGGGAAAGTCTCCTCTTAACTTCGTCGCGGTTACAGTAGCAAGAATTAGATTTCATACCAAGTACCTTGGTTATCATTATGGGTTTAAGTTTTCGTCTGAATGGATCCCGGGTATTTGTGCAAGTTTTCCTGTTGAATTTATGGGTAAAAATCCAGGAGTTTGATGTAAAACTAATTTCAATCACACATCTTCCTTTGCCTCATCGAATGGAGAATGTCATCCCTATATATGGCGCAAACCATCCTTGATAAAATCCAACGCTAGTAGATCATACTTTCCCGACAACACTCACCGCAAAATTCTGACGGTACCATGTGTGTGCACAGGGCAGCGAGGGAGGTGACGGGGACGAGAAGCATGGTCTTCTCCAGGTCTACCTACCCCACTGTAGGTCAATGGATCGGACATTGGTTTGGAGATAATATCTCGAGATGGGTGGATCTTCATCGCTCCATCATCGGTTAGCAATCTGCTTTCTTCTCTCTGAGTTAACATCACTAGTTAGAGAGTATTGAAATAGATTATAATAAGATATTGCTTGACTGCATCTATTTAAGTACCCTTAAATATTATTTCAGTATCATTTAAATAAAGGATTTATACATTATGCCACTAATTTTTTTTTACAAATATTTTCGCTTCTTTAAAACTGACTATGAACCTTCAGAATTTTACACCAGCAAAAGAAAATAATGGTTACCTTACTTAAAATTAAGAGTAAAACGTTTTGATTCCCCTCCTTCGTAAGAGGACATTTCCCTGACGTTTTGGATCCCGTTCCGGTACAAGACATAGCAAAATACTACTTCACATGGTACGATGCAGCTTGACAATGCCTTGAAAGCTGAATGGTCAGAAAAGCGACATTCATGCTTATTTTAGCCACTTTCAATTGCTTGTGGCGATTTTTTTTTTAGCAGCTTGCCGACATTCTTCAGGATATGAAATTTTCGTGAGATAATTACGAGATGACGTTCATGTCCAGCAGTCATTACTTACAGGCAACAAAAGAAAAGCGCCACTCACATATCGAACTCTTCTTCGCTTGCGAATTACTGCACTCGAAGGGCAGGTTGCTGTGATGAGCCGTTATAGTGAATTAGGTATCATGAATAATATATATGGAGTAAAAAAAAAAAAGTCCGATGCGCCCTTAATGCCATGGAACTGGTTTGCTCAGTTTCAAAAACAAAACCATGGTCAATTTGGTTGCAACTGTGCAACTAAATTGAGGTTGACAGTCCGCGACTAACAGCACAGAAGACAAGAGCGTCTGTGCGTCTATTCGGTCTTCGAAATGAATTTAGTAGCTTCCAAGGGTGCATCCGTCTAGGTATCGGGAGTTCATCCGTGAACTGTATTTTAAGGAATACGTCGAATCGCATTATTTATTCGAAAATTAATGCTTGAGATATCTTAACAAGCTTTGAGTCTGTCGTCGAATGCCCTCACGAATGCAAAAATGTCGCTATGTTAATGCCACATTCCTCCGTCGAACAGCCATGTTCGAGTTCAACATGTTCGGCCTTCCGTACGGAGGATCGGACATCTGTGGCTTCCTCGACAACACGACAGAGGACCTCTGCATCCGGTGGATGCAACTCGGAGCCTTCTACCCGTTCTCCAGGAATCACAACGCCGAGGGACATATCGACCAGGATCCTGGGATGTGGCCGACAGTGGCAGAAGCGAGCAGGATTGCGCTCGGCGCCAGGTTCTTCCATTCCTTCCTTTTTTCCGATTCAACGCAGAGCCTGAGGTTTATTACAACACAGGAGTGCGCATGATGATATTTAATTTTTTTCGAAAGTGTGACTTCCTATTTGATAAGGAAATCACATGCATCTGACAGCCATGAAATACTTAAATCAAGCATTTCTTTGCGTTTTAAAAATCAGATAGTCAATTTTAAATTATCCTTTTTTGGATTTTTGGATTTTTCCTAAAAAGCTCTCAGAAAACATCTCTAATATACAAGGTGGCCCAAAAGTCGCGCACTATACCGTTCACCATTGGACTACATTAACTCTTTAAATAATTATAATGACTCCTATTCTAATTGTTCAATATTTATTATTAATTACGCCCTCTCGCTTTTTGTTGATTTTGCAGGAATCATTACCAAGAAGGAAAGAAAAAGATAATGAATATCGTCATAGAATGAAATACCCTATGATGCGCGACTTTTGGGCCACCCTGTATATGGATGATCATGAGAGGCTGATTGACGCTAATACCAAACATGTTCTAGATTTGGTAGAAACCTGGATTTGGTACATAAGTAGCTATTGGGATGCTGAGTTTAGATAAACTCCAACTTTGGAGGTAAATGTCCTTAGGGTGCATTTTTTTGGAGGGGACGTTATCAAAAGGAATTTTTTTTCAGCTTCATTCAAACGGAGGGAATTGGAAAGCTGAAACTTGGCGCGAACGTGCCTACTGATATGCTGCTTTAACGAAAAACGTTACTTTTCAGATACATCCCCATGGGGGCATAATTTTGGGGGGAGACGTTTTCCAATAAGTTTTTCTTTCTCCAGCGAATCGGACAGAAGTAGAAGATGATATTTGGATCGAAATATCGCATGTCACTCAATGAGGCGTATAGGTAAAATATGGTGATTTTTTCTATGCTTCCTCTAAGCAAAAGCGAAAAAATGGTTTTATACTTTTGCACGTACATGTAGGAATCGATGTTTCAAACATCCTCGAAAGGATACACATGTATGCCATCAAATACGACGAGCACATTGTTCTAGGATTGAATAGTGACAAAATGCCTTGGTTAAAAAAAAATATACTGGCAAAATCATGAGAGAAGTAAAAATGAGAATGAAACTCTGCACGAGTAAGGTCATTGACATATGACTGATCGAAGGTTGTCCGCTTGGCGACTGCCTATCGATCTCTCTGATCTATGGCGGGAGACAATCAGCGACTGAGCGACTATGACACTCCATAATTTTTTTTTTTACCAATAGGTATCGTGTACTGCCATATCTATATACCCTGTTCTATCACGCGAACACGGTGGGTGACACAGTGGTGCGACCCCTGTTGATGGAGTTCCCGACTGACGTCACGGCAAGAGGCATCGATACCCAGTTCCTGTGGGGATCCCATCTCCTCCTCTCCCCTATCCTCACCCTCGAATCTTTCAACTCCCGGAGTGCCTACTTCCCTCAAGGTCTTTGGTATAAGTACTGGTCCAGAGAAGTGGAGTTCACGGGGCCGTTGACGACGAACTTGAATGTCCCTGACATGGAGATCCCGATCCATGTCCGCGGAGGGGCCATTCTTCCTACGCAAGTTTCTGGAATCAACACTGACGAAAGGTATCTTTACATATGCATCATCATACGCTACAGTAGGCTGTATCTATTATCGATAGCTGGAACTTGGGGTTCTGCAAAAAATCAAATGTTCAACTATTGATACATTAAGTAAACACATTAAGTTCCTTTTCTCTTGCATATTACATCCTGTGGAATCTTGCTAGGATAGAATATTCTGCAGGAGAACGTATCCAGGTTTTGAAGTGAAGTGAACCATGTGAAGGAAAACAACCAGTTTGAGCGGAAAATATTTTTGTAACATTTTTAATGGAGGGGGAGAAGTTGTCGTGCATTGTTGAGCAATAGAAGACTGCGAGGACAATGCTCTCAAGAAAGCTGCAGTTTAGGAGCGAACGTGTCTAAAAGGGACGAAAGATGACCGCTGCTCGGGCGGGCCCAGTTTAGCCATTGCTGCAAAAAACGTTCAACGCGTGGAGCACCTCGTCAAGCAGGACGAAAATATTCATGAATTATCTCAGTTATCGACGGTCGAGAGATCCAAGTTGCTTGATTGTGTGGACGAAGTCGCTCCTACGGTGAACGTTAACGGGAGAATTGGATGAACTGGACTTGCATGGTTCATCGTCAAGACTCTCTTTTACCTCTTGGAAACGTTGAACCTGCAAGCAGGTTCAACGTTTTTAGAACCTGTATTGAGAGAACTCTTCTCATGTACAGCCTTCAATCGCTCAACAATACTTGAAGGCTTCATACCCTCCTTCAAAATTTTCGCGTCTGCGCTTTTTCCAAACCGCAAGTTTCCCATTTAAAAAAATATAGTCACCTACTTATTAAAAATTCCTTACTTTTTTCCTTTTCCCCTTCTCACCTCCTGCGTATATTGTGCGTCTATAATAGCTCTTATCGCTCTTTCTAGAGACTCTTCAATCGACTTTTTTTAATTTAATGCTTAGCCACGATTTTACGGTTATGAAAAAGTTAAAAACCTTTCTAGAAATTGCATTGGGCGTTAGCACTGAGCCCACTTTCTATTCTTCCCCAGTCGACAGAACCCATTTGGTCTGATAGTGGCACTAGATGAGAGCAGCCAGGCGTCAGGGAACCTCTTCTGGGATGACGGGGAATCCATCGACACCGTCGGGACAGGGGATTATTTCTATGCCACCTTCTCATTTGATACAGTGAGCCTTAACGGGTTTTCTCTTTGTGATTCGAGGAGGAGAAGGGATGAAAATGCGGGGTGCTTTTTTCTCGTCACCTAGAATGATGACCTATAGTGCCAGCTCTTTAGCAACCTACCTAACTACCTACCCTGCGGTAACCTTCCCTAGCTCTAGACCCCAATGGGGTCAAGTGGCAGTAGTCAGCTCAGGAGGTTACCTCACAGGACGTGCTTCGAATACGATTCTTCTGCTTCTGTTCTGGATCTTTCTTGTCCTCAACCCATCACTGAGAGCTTCACCATCACCATCAATTAATCGCGCACCGATTGAAGAATGAGCCCATTGGAAATGAAGTTATTTCCCCAATTCCTATTCTGTCCTCTATCCTTACATTACCTTGGCTATAAATGCCCACATGACTAACGAGCCGAGCTGATCATCTCCGCAATGAAAATTATTTCTCTCGGGCCACCTAGCATGAGAGCAAGAATTGCATGGGCACACTATTCGTTTGCACCGCAGTGTACTGAGGCGTTCGGTGGTGACCACTTTCATAAAGGGGTAGCAATCCGGAAAATTCTATCTACTTGAGGTGGGTACTAGGAGCGCTTGCGTACACTTTATTGCGATTCTAACGAGCAAAAGACAGCGGACTTCAATCCAAGGCGTACCTGACAGGAACTACGTGCAGAATTCTGCGACGACAGTTCCCATAACGGTGCGAACATTGGTATGTGGTCTGTAAACGTGTAATTTCATTCAGCTACTTCATGCATCCAGTATCCTATCTACTATCCAGTAGGAAGAAAAGTGAGGTTCGAGTAATTATGCCCTATCTAGACTGTTCACTTTTACAAACGAAAAGGTGCAATACATAATTCCACTTGCATAACCTACGAAGGCCAGTCAGAAAGTTCCAGTACGTACTTATTTTAAATCCCTGGTATGCACGTGGTACAGCGACTTTCTCTGAATTAATCCCATCGAACGTGGCGTCACATGACTCCGCAAGCCACCACTGGTGAAAGTATTTCCCCATCGTTAGGCCTTTTAAGATAGATGAACTCCACCCATGATCCTCGCGAACGCATGTGAAATAACGCTAAGATTGCTCTAAAAGACAGCGGACTTCAATCCAAGGCGTACCTGACAGGAACTACGTACAGAATTCTGCGACGACAGTTCCCATAACGGTGCGAACATTGGTATGTGGTCTGTAAACGTCATAATTGTGACTGTCGGCCCAGGAATCATCAACGACTTCCCGACTTTTCCCTCACCTAACTGCACTGGTTTCACGATATCCAGGGGCCAGTAAATTCGTGAGTACTATGTTATCGATTTTCTTTGCCTTCGGAGATAATCCCGAAGAGGATGGGGATGTAAGTAGTCTTTTAAGTTATTGGAAGTCATTCAGCTACTTCATGCATCCAGTATCCTATCTACTATCCAGTAGGAAGAAAAGTGAGGTTCGAGTAATTATGCCCTATCTAGACTGTTCACTTTTACAAACGAAAAGGTGCAATACATAATTCCACTTGCATAACCTACGAAGGCCAGTCAGAAAGTTCCAGTACGTACTTATTTTAAATCCCTGGTATGCACGTGGTACAGCGACTTTCTCTGAATTAATCCCATCGGGTAGGCACAGCTTTTTCCAGCGGTCAGGGGGTGAAATAAGGCCACAGGGTGTCTTCTGCACCTAGTGTTGCCGTCATGACTGCATGCACTTCTTTAACGCCACCGATATGACCACCCTTCACGTTGATCTTGTGGCGCAGGAAGGTTAAGAAATCGCATGGAGTCAGATCTCCCGAGTCCGCGAGGTGGGGAACAGCATTCACTTCATGCTTCGCGAGGAATGTCACCATAGTGACGGATCAGTGGGCCGGAGCAGTGGTTAACTAATGCAATAGACATCAGTTGTCAATGGCCCCCACACGCACAGTTACACTTTCACTCAAAGCGACAACTCAATATCTGCACCTAGGTTTCACTTCTTACTTTCAAGTCAAACTCAAGATGAATAACAGCTGATAAAAAATGAATTCAAGGAATAGGGAATAACTGATCATTAGTCTCATAGCCAATTGTTTCATGCAAGGAAACTTGCATTAAAATTGAACAATCTGCAATTACTTTCCTCTTAGTAAACAAAGATGACTGCTTTAATGTCAGCAATATCCCAGATCAGTCCATGCACACTGCTGAGTGCAATGCAGAAAGATTTGTGTAAAAATACATACATTTAATGAATGACAGAAGGGACACCAGTAACCAACAAGACATGTATTGTCTAAAAATATGGCAATCATGATGAAAACCAAAGAACTGATGCAATAATGGTACAAATAGAGCAGAGGAAATAATATGAAAGCCCTGCATGAACAAAATATGAATGAAAGTAAAAACGAAAAACATGTGGAACCAGGACAGGCACCCCAGATGCAACACTCCTCAAGTGACACCATCACTGCTGATTGAACATGAGAAACTGACAGTCCAACTTCCCAGCATTTCAGTGTCTATATAATATACAGGAGTAAATTACACCATTAGGCAAATAGGAATTCTGATCTGCTAACTGTCCCCATCAAATCAATTGCATCATTACTAATACCAACATATCATGCAATTACCCTGATGGAAGGATGAAAGAACGATGGCTTTGAACTGCCCTTCATCAACTGGTGATGCAAACTTGCTGGCTGTATAGCCCATGTTACTGAGAGTGATATGACTTACAAAGGAAAAATATTAAAGTCCTAACATTATGATAATGACACAAGTAACTTCAAGACAATTGAGAAATACTGCATCCAGATGTCTTGAACTAATCTTCTAGGTGAAAGACTTCCTGAAATAACACCATGCATATTGATTTTAATAAACTATCCAACGCCACAAAAATTCCCAATAAAACTCCCAAAAAAACCGATAGTGTAATTGAAAGCAATAATGTGGGAAAAGAGGCTTTCAATAAGAATTTCTACAGGACCCTACCTGATAAATGGGTGAAAATAGCCACAAAATGGCAATATCTCAATGGTGCAAATGTTAATGTGATAAGACTACCTTCAAATCCAAAAGGAATTCAAAATTGATAAAAAATAACTATCACCAAGAATGTGAAATGACAAATTCCATTGTAATTTCATGAAGCGAAAAAGGCTTCCCAATGAAAGGGAAGGGAAGGGAAGGGAAGGGGGAGGGGAAATAAAGAATAAACAAAGCAGTTTTGTAAATGTGATCGACCCACTAAAAAAAAATCCATTCATTAAGGAATTTTTGCCAATAAATAGAAAGTAATAGTTGCCAACTCCATCATTTTGAGCATCATCTGGCAGTAAGCAGTCTCATGCCTGATGCATTTAACTGCCACGGATAATGTATGAGTAGTGTGTGCCAGCTATGTGGCAGTTTTCAGCATTGATATATTCCTGAAAAGATAGGCCAGTATGCTACTACCCCATTCTACTTGCATTGTGCGTATTTAGAATGGACCATTCGTGTGAAGAGGCATCCAAGTTACTTCAATCTATAATGAAGTATATGTAGACAGGTTCTGGTTCAGAGGCCCTTTTCAATACATTGAGAGAAGACTTGCTACAGTGACTCTTCAATTTTTTTCACAGTTTCAGCCATGGATTCTGCCTGAGTCAACTTGTCTTGCCTAGGCATCAGGAAGTCCTTGATCCAGGAAGCACACATCTCTGCAACTCGTTCACTATGCTTCAAAACGAAGGCATGAGGGAAGCCCTTATTGCACAGCTGTGCTTGAACACCAGGGATGCTCATCTTCATGTCATAATAGAACCGCTTCGGGCACCATGGATCCCGTGCTCCATAGTAGAAGAGGAGACGAGTCTTGTGTTTCATAACCGTGTCACGATCCAGTTCACGGACACATTGAAGTTCAGTGTCAGCCATGAAAACGATGTTGCTCACTGCAGATGGTCGGGCAATGCGTTCCGTTGCAGTCAAACTCCATGGACTAATCTTTTTCTTGGAAAAATATTTCCTAATACAGAATGATTGGAATGATGAAGGCAACAATGTGAAGAGAAAGGCAAGAAAGACCAGGAGCCAACGGAAATAATGGAAAGTTACACCCAGCTTTTTCCCATTTGGTGTGTCATGCATTCGTTCAACTGTGGAGAACAAGAGATATGCTTTTTGGACATGGAGAGCAACTCCCATACGTTTCATGAGCTCCAAAATCACATATGAGCCAATGGAATGGCCAACGAAGATTATGCTAGCATTTTTGGGTAAGAACTCCTTGAGAAACACTTGCTTATGGAGGATCTGGTCTTCCAGGCCATATGGATTCCAGGCACCTGTCAGATGAAACCACATTCAGAAAACTATTATTGAAAATAGTTTTGGGTCATACCTATGTGCATTGAGTTGTGCTAGTTGTGTATTATCTATGGATTTAAAGAGAACTGCATACAGTATGCAATCTCAGTAAAGCAAGAGAGTAAAAAGAGCACTTATGGCTGGTCTTGAGCCCTGTGACCACCTCTGTATTTATGCCTGAAGATGTCCTATGTCCACTTAGCTAGCTAAAATCATGATGCATTGGGCATGGAGAATAAGAAAAAAAGTCTCACCTTTAAAGGCATCATACCAGGTGGCAGGGATATCATGTCCTGCATGATCAACTGCAACAATGTGCACTTTTCCCTCTAGCTGCTTCTCCAGCTCTTCACAAAATGCCCAGTAATATGTGATACAACCAGGATTTCCTATGAATCAAGATTCCATGTAGAAACTCATTAAATGATGGCCAAAATGATAAAATATTGGTCTGAGAAGAAAGCATAGGCATATACAAGGGACAACTCACCAGGTATGATGACTACATATGGCAGATCTTCTTGATCTGACTCAGTAGGTCTGCCATCATGTGACACTTTTTTGCCAACAATTTTTTTCTGGATCTCTGTAGCATTGTCTGAGCATAAGAAGTGGGTAGGCTTTCCATCAATGTAGGTGAAATATTCTCTCATCCTTTAATGAATAGGGATTGGGCCTTTAAAATAGGCCTACCTGCAAACAGGGAAAAAATAATAACAGACTGTTTGACTGACTTCAACTTCTTAGCTGGCAGCAAGCATGACCTCTAACCAGAAATTCACCCAATTAGATATTTAAAATTGTCAATGGGTTGCCATTGGGTTGCCAGTAGAAGCTCCTTTCTAAGTTGTAAAGTAGCCAGGATTAATTAAAACTTTTGGATAACCCAGTTACCTGTAATGACAAGTTAGACAAATGAAAACAAGAAAACAGGAGCATTTACAATCCTCCAACCCATCCATCTAGTCATATCCAGACTAGATGGATGGGGTGGGTTTTTTGCTTTATTATAGGGGAGGGAAGGGTGGGGGGGGGGGAAATGAAGATCCCTACATTCCTAATGCCATTAACAAGATCCAGCTACTCAAGAGTCAGCTCTTCCCTATTGTGAAAGTGTATCAGTTGTTGCTTCATAAGCCATTCCAAATGGTCACATGAAGAGATAGTATCCTGAAATGAAATTGAACAGTTAGGGAAATGCAGAAATCACATGCTAAACCCTAGAAATCCTCTACTGATTTCAATCATAGCCTCAGGTCTCAGCAAAGTAGTTTCAACATATGAGTAGGTCTAAATGGATAGGCCTTCCATATGCATAGGCACCTATTACAATGTATCAGTCACAGGTTTGAGTGGCCCCAGGATTATCATAGTGCATGTGACAACCAAGAGCTAACTCAGACAAAATAGGTCAGCAACATTTGCAAGATGTTGGTTCACTTAAAACCTTAAAGCTGTCAACTAGCTACTAGTGCAAAGAGGGTAGACTCAGCCTAGGATTTAGGCATGATTCTGGGCCTAAAATTAGAGTCTAGTAATCCTTTATTATGGCTAATGCTTGCCCTAAAACCCAGAGTCCTATACTTAATAACACCCTACTGAGGACAAACTGGGGAAGAAATTTAAATAAAAGCTCAAGAGCTTGACTTTTTGGCCAGTTCATCCCACCATCTGATTCATGGACAAACAAAAAAGGGAGCAGTGCACCTGATAGCAACAATACAGTAGGTGATTACACTCCACAAAAAATATCTATCTCTAAGGAGGGCTGGCCTATCTTTTGATCCACAGCGCTCGACCTTGACAGGGGGCATCATTACGGGTGAAGGGGCCTCCGACTTGAAAGGGCCTATCAGGACTTTGGCCCTTGAACGATCCGTGGTTCCATCTTTAGCTACCACAAATAGGCCTAAATTTAGGTGTAAGGCGAATCACTGCCGAGCAACGAGTAGAGCAATGTCTAGGGGTCTGTCAAAAAAAGCTGACGAAGCAGACCGTGTCAAGAGCCCATAGGGTCAACTCGCCTCGTGCACAATCACATCGCAAACCTCTACTTACAGCACCAGAGCCTTTCGCGAATGAATCCGAACCGTCAACACGCGATAAACACGCTCCTCTATGCAGGAATCCGTCCCTGGATATCCTGTGGCTCTGTTGCCATGTGCGGGCGACATCCGACGTATTTCGAGTCAACTACTCATTATTTGCAAATCAATTCCACTTGTATGCAGCCGTTTCCAAGGGCATGCACTTGACTTCGTGCCCACTGCTCCTAGACGTTATAAGATACCATTACGGCGAAAAAAGGGAGAATGCAACGCTCGAACCCGGATAGACGAACGACGAGACGAGAAACTAAAAGAATCCGAAACTAAGCCCAAAACAGGTTCGGGGGAATTGCGATTTCGACCGGCACCTGCTTCAGAATTCTTCGGCTTCCTCTGGTGAGTGGCATCGCCGCAGGTTTCCTCCATCGTCCTTTCCTTAACCGTGACCGGCAAGGTTCCGAATTTTCGGTTCAAAAATGGACAAAGCAGGAAAAAGCGAGTTGGAACGGGAAAATCGGATTCCAAGCAATTGGACAGAGTTGATTTATTTTTTCGGTGCAGCGCGTCGACACTTCCAGAATTTCTCTTTCCGAACTGCCGGCTCCGACGACGCGAAGAAAAAGCCGATGGGAAAAGACGCTAACAGCAAAAAATTCGTACGGAGGAACGACAAGCCTTTTGTATTCGAAGACGGCGGCAAACATGGCCACACGCGCACAAATTTCAAGCACGTATTCCACCTTGACGGGTTTACTGCGAGACGTGAGAAGAAACTATGAGAAAGGGTAAAGACGTCTTTGGGATGAGGTTCCTGGGGACTCGGCTCAAGGATAAGGCGGAAAGTCAGTTAACGAGAGAGAGATTATTGCTGGCCGTCCTTGAGAACTGGGTCAACGGCTTCATGTGGACACGGGCGGAATATTCCTTTGCCCGTGGTGGAGAGGGGGGAGGGGGGGGGGGGGCACAGTGCTGGCTTGACAGGCTGTCTGGAGACAGACAGACAGACAGACTGGCAGACAGATAGACTGCTCCCGAGACTACCCGAGTCGTTATGCATTCATCGGTGCTCGTCGGCTTCTAGGTATTGGCCTCTAGTTTCAGGATGATTCGTGGATGTAGTCGGATTCCGTCCGAATTAAGGCTTTCAAGTACGCGCGTACCTAATAGAAATTTTGTCTGGGAAATCCTTAACGAAAAGAAGAAAACCATCTGACGGGTCATGTCAGGTTTCAAGGACAACACGGTCCAAGAATTTAATCTCCCTCATCGAGGACAGCTGGTGTTCGTGAGTCTTCCAGCCTTTCGGTCGCCGTGAGGGCGAGGTGAGGGCACTGTCCAAGCAATGTCCAAGCAATGTCTAAGCAATGTCCAAGCACCAGACGAGAGGGCATGCACGTCTTTTTTTTGTGCTTGTAGTTGAGTTGTGGAGATTTGTCACACGGTCGCCTTCGCCTTCGGTTGTCCTGTGGAGGGTGAGGACGATAGCAGAAGACGTTCAACGTCTTTTCTCTGAATGAAAAATGAGGCTTGTCGTACGCTCCTTATACACGACGCCGTGTACGTGACTTCAGATGTTAAAAAGAGAGAACAGAATAAAATAAGCACGAAAAAGGACGATTAAATTCGCTCTGAGTCCACCCGAGACTGTATCCCGAATTCCAAATCCAACTTCTGTAACATGAGAAAGCGAAAAAAAAAGAATCGGGCAGGAAGATAAGGAAAATTACATATAAGGGAAACTTTTCCTTTTTATCATACAGAAAGGGGAGTAAAATGATTGGAAAAAATGGCCAGCCGTATTCAGCGAGCCTCCATACAGAAGGCATCCGGACCAGGAAAGGGTCTTCGAGCATGGATCTCACATCCTCAGCATGGATCTCACATCCTCGACGAAACAAAGAGAACCGTCTCCGCCTCCGACATTCGCATGCGGGACGTCAATCGTCCCCCCCCCCCCCCCCCCCCCCCCCCCCCCCCCCTTGGCCCTCGAGTCGTTTGCAAGCAAGTTGGTATTTCCACGTTGATTTTGCATCTTTCAGATGCTGACATGGCGGTATGCTCGAAAATTAAGCCAATGCTTTAATTAGCTTATAACGCTCTGGTGAAGGTTTTCTCTCGGACCGGTTGGTACTTCAGGAGGTACTTTTTCCCGTGTCACTTCTCGCGAGGCATAAATTTCCTTCGCGGGATCAATAACAACGTTTCCCACGTCGGACGAAAACGATTCCTTCGGCCACCACTCCCATCACGCCGGAGCCATTCTGAGAGAAGTCGGACACAACACGAATCGTTCGCCGATGCGAGATTCGCGCTTCCACGTCGTTTCGTCTGCCAAAGCGAAGTTCCTTGCCGCGTTCCTCGTAACGCGGAATTCTGGTGTCTTCCCCAATGTCGGAAACGATCCGGTACCGTACGAAAAGAATTTCATTCCAGTGGCAACGAGGAATGATTTGCTACGTTGGCGATTCACCCTCAGGCTTCCATTGTCGGAACCAGGTTTGCGCAAGTAACACTCCAACGACTTTACAACTATACCTCTTAAACGTTATTCCAAAATTCACGTTGAATTTTGCAGTGGCACGAGAAGTATACCAAGAAATAAAGAAACGGACGGTGGGGTATCCCCAGCCTGGAAGGAGAAAATCGCCGGGAAATCGCGAACACGGCAGATCTACGTGCGACCCTCGTCGAATATTTGGCATTTCTTCGCTCTAGGAATGCAACGAGAAACGCAGTGGAACTCGACCCAAGCCCCAACTGGAACTTGCCAACCGAACCGCCGTTTCGAAATAAACCATCGACGACGTGCGAAAGGAGGAGACAGCCTTGGGGCTCGTGATCTCTCTCCTTGCCTCCGTGGCTTTTATTTTTCCTTTTCCATTTCTTTTTTCACCGAGTTCGTTCATAAGAAATATTTACACGTATATCGTGAACGGACTTAGTACTACTCCAACGCTTGCGTTAACCTTGCTTTCAGTTTTTTTTTGCAGTGGGCGACTGCTAACGCTCTGTCAAAAAATTCGTTCATGGACTCCAAAGACTTCATGGACTCCAAGGACTCGACCTTGAAAAGCTGGTGGCAGTCGGATCGCGCGGCACGATGCTGCTGCTCTTTGCTGGGATGCTTTTTGCATCTGTGATGAATCAAGGTCGAAAAACAGGGGACGAAAAATGTTTATGTCTGCTTTACTCGCCGATCAGCAGATAAACTTAAAAAAAAAGAGAGGGGGAGGAACCTCTCACCCCTGTGTTTTCGCCGCTTCCTCATATTTGCAGGTCGATTTCATCGCTGGATAAAATGAATCTTCCCGAACTTCACGCGAAGGAAAGTTTCCAAGAGTCTCGACTGGGCAAGGGAGGGAAGACGGTTGGGTCCGGCTGGGTCCGGTCGGGTCCGTCCCGCAAATTCTCAATTTCCCGGTCTAAAGTATACTTTTCGATCATGATCGAAACATCATGATAACTCGATAGCCCTCCAGGACCCCTACAACTCATCGAATTTTCATGCTTAAACCGAAATCGTAATCGAGAGCGACATCTAACTTCACCACCGACAAATCCCTTGATATCTGGCCCTTTTCCTGGCCATCACAACCGAGGATCGGATATCCAGACGGCTTTGTTCCTCGCGACGCTCGGGCGCGCTCGTCACCCCGTATTCTACCGAGAGCCTTTCCGTCGATCGAGCGAAAAGGCGTAGGGGCCACCACCGACTCGCTTTTCCCGTCTTCCGATCATTTTTTTTGTTTTTCGAAGTCGACTGACGTGACGTTTCAAGTTATGACGATCGAGTTATCCGATATTTCGGCCATAATCGAAATGTATACTTAGACCGGGTAAATCGCTCCATCTTCTTTTCGGCCTCTTCGACGGTTTTCGTCGACGAAAACGGAAGCGATCCCCGCAGAGGAGTCGAATCCCAAGGAAGAAAAAAGCGGAGAATTCATCTGTTTACTTTTTTTTTCCCGCTCCGCCGCGAATGGCGTCTTGTCTCTTCCCGGAATTCGTAGGAGAACCGGTGCATAACTTGGAATGAGATTTCCGGTTTCTCCAGCAGCCAGTGAATCGCATTCACTGGATTCAATGCGGATGGTCCGAAGTTCCCAAACGCATTTCGATCTTCTGTGCATCGTTTCCGATCCCGATCGAGTGAAAATCCTATTTGGGCTCGATCGCCTTTTCCTATCGCTAGACTGTACACGGGCAGTTTACCCTATACGTTTCGAAATATCTTATCCTGTTTTTTTTTTTCTATGCTAGCGTCTAACACGGGTTAGACGCGAGCACTCACTAACGATGGCGCTATTCAGTTCAAAGGAGTAAATGAGTGCCGGTTGCCGATTTGGAGACTGGAACGGACACCTGCACACACACACACACACACACACACAGAGATAAATGCCAGAAGTGACTGAACACGGAGTAAAGGGTGATCCTTATCGATCGTCCTCCGAAGGAATTGCAACACATTCCTGTCACTCGGTATCCCGTTTTCACAGCCCGAGGAAGGCGATGGGAATTTGGACGGTCGCAGTCCAGACCTCCAGCCTTCCTCTCCCGCCGTGGAGTGAGGAATGGCCGAGGGAGAGGAGGTAGCGAGGAATGGCTGAGGGAGAGGAGGTCGAGAGGAATGGCTGAGGGAGAGGAGGTAGCGAGGAATGGCTGAGGGAGAGGAGGTCGAGAGGATCCCGATCGGGACTTCTCCCGTCTCATCTCATTCTCTTTTACCGGATCGTCGATTGTTTCGCGCCGCCCGCACGACTCGTCGCTTCGCGTGGCCCGGTTCATCGCGCGGAAGCAGATTTAGACACAATTTGTTTATCTTTCAGAATGGGAGATATATTTTGAGTGCCAGTCGGTATGGTATCACGCATCCGAGCACATCGGTGTTGCCGTCATCTCAGTAGATAATCCAGCCCTCATTTTATATCCCGTTAAAAGAGAGGGGGAAGAAAAAAAAAGGGTAAGACGCAACATAATCGCAAGACCCGCAGAAAAGATGTTCCTCGAAGAAGAAACAAATTTTCCGCGTCTCTTTTCGTTTTCGAGGAAGTGTTTGAAGCAGACGAGACGTGGCGCGAAGTTTCTTTCGGTTCCAGATCTGCTCCTTGGAGACATCGCATTTTTCTCAGACATCTTTTTTTTAAATATTTATTTACGATATCTGCAGGACTAAACACCGGTCGTATCGACTCGAACCTGTTATCGGCAAGGGTTTATGAGTCGAGAAATTGATATATTCATGACTCGCAAAAAAGAAGTATGTGCAGCGTGCAGGCATTCGTAATTCCGAATCTATTGTGTAAAACCGGTCTGAAAACGCAAACAGGAAAAGCAGAAATACTTGGGAATGTTCACCAAAGCAATAATATGTGCCCTTCACCATTCATTCAGTTATTAATATTTGCAGTTCTTCAATCTGAGACAGTTCAATCTCGGAAGAGTATTTAACCTACGAGTTAAATATTCTTCCGAGATAGAGGAAGAAGTTTTACGGTCGCACGGCCACGATGAACATTTTTCCTCATCTCCCAGCGGAAAACACGGCACAAAAAAGGTTTTGGTGGCTTAGAAACCAACTGGATCTGAAAGAACGAAAACGACTCGAACGGTAAGAGCATTATTCACGAACCGGCGAAGAATTGAGAATCGATGGCCGATCAACGATGATACGACTGCGTCCGTTTCCGAGATCGGAGATGGGTTCGGCGCGAAAGATGTCAAAGGTCATCTGTCCCGGTTTCTTTCGTGCCTTACTGAAGATGAACGACTCCAAACTGATGTCGTTCGTTTCTGCGTGATTGTGTGGACACGAAGATTTTTCAAGCTCTGTTCTAACACACGCGCTTTTCTTGCAAAGAAAAACCACACAAACGAAACTGGGATGGCAAGGAGGTAATCGAATGAATCGAACTCCAAAACTTTCTTTGTCTAGAGAAAAAAAATTCGTAGTCTGTACTGAACAAGATTATTCCGAAAAGTGCCACAACTGGACTTGTCCAGCACAGTACAGTACCGGTACTGTTTCCATTTCTGCATTGTCTACAGGTGAAAATGCAGGGTATTTTCACACAGCTTGACAAAAATCTATCCGAATATTTTTTTATTCTCAAAAGGTAACTTATTACAAGGTGCACATAAAAGGTAACATCAGCAGCATGAAGATCTTATTGCTTGTATCACAAAAAGCTTCTAGAAAAAAGAAGCCAATTGAAATGTCTCCTGCTCAGCAAGAGCCGTTCACCAAACTGCAGATGCAGAGAATGAGGGGAGGGGTGCCAGGCTGGAAGTTGAGAATACATTTATCATGAGGGCGAACAGGTACTTTGAAAGAAATGCTCAGGTAAAACTCTGCATGAAAAAGAGGATTTTGTCAAGACATGGGAGATTCTGTGAACTTCAAGACTGAAGCATAATTCAGCATGAGATATTGCTCTGGATTCTCCCGAGAATGAAACGGGAGCAATAAGCCAGTTCTGTCGGCTGATAAAGCCCGAAAGGAAAGCAAGAGGACACGACTGTATCGATGTAAGGGGAAAAGATTTGGCCAAGGCCCAGTCCACTGGCAAGATTCTTCCAGGGTAGTCATATATGAAATGGCAAACTATGGGGATCAAGCCAGGAAGAAAAAGAGAAACAGAGAGAAACTCAGAAACAAAAACACACAGGTTGATTGTGAGGATGGTTAGGTCATTTGGGAAATTAATAAAGGCAGAGTCTTACTGGCAAGATCTCAACTGTAATATTTTTGTTTGGATTTGTGGCAGAGATAAATAGAGAAGAGGCCAATAAAAAATAAAGAAAGGAAGAACCACAGCAGGTACAATGTCCCCTTGTGACTGGATTTTGCATTTTGCAAAAATGAAAGTAATTTTTAGATTTGAAGAGTGGCAATCTCTGCCTAATTAAGATAAAAGTTTTAAATGACACCAAGAGAGATGGGTTTGGAAATTGCCCTTTTTCTTTTCTCCCATGCTCTTTTACAAGTTTGAAATTACTGTGCTGATTACTTAATGTTCAACTAGCTATAGAATGTTTAAAAAAATTTAAGCATGTCAGGTTTGCCACTTTAAATGAAGTCCTAAAATTGGGAGGAAAAGTCTAGTGTACTCACTAGTATTTTGCAATTGCATAAATTCAATATTAGCAGATGAAGGCTGGAAAAAGGACCATATAATCACCAACTTTTAAGAAAGGGAAGCCTGAAATGACACAGTAAATCCAGTACTATTTATGGTGTCCCATGATTTTTCCATTATAAGAGAGCTAATCTTTGGCAGTTTTCCCATTTTTATACCCAAGTGTAAAATGATGAAAAAAAAAAGAGCTGAGACTGTGCCTTAAAAGAGGAAAGCAATGAAGCCTTGGCATGCTTATTACATATCTATCAATAAATACATGGCAGGAAAATATGTATTTTTAGGATTTCCTTCCTTCAGTCCAGCCCTGTCCACAGTAGACTCCCCACCACCAGGGCATTGGGAGTTGCAAGTCCTAATTCTCTTCCTTCAGCACCTAGGTGCCCTTTGAATACTATACAATATTTATCATGATTTCGAAATGCAATGGAATGTATCACAAGGTACTATCAAGGGACAAGGTGCTATCAGGTGACAAGGGTAACTTCTTCACTTCCACTCCTTGCGCTTTCACTCCGTGATATCCTGAAGGGAAAAAGCAAAGAGTTCAAGGTAACTCATTTGGAGACAGTAGCGAATGGACAAGAAATGCACAATAAAGGTACCAAAGTTGGTGTTTAAAAAAATACAAACATGGGCAATATACCAATATACCACGCAACAATATAGCTTAAAATTCAACAGAAAATATTCTATGACACTCATATGCATAACGCAGCAATACTCTAATGACTTTGAATCATATTAAGTACAGCAGAAACGTGTAACAAGAAGTTCCATTGTTATTTTCAAGAACTTCCAAAGCACGACAGACCCCCCCCCTTCAATATTTTTCTGACAAAATCATTTATGTCTCATTTGTACAAAACTTAAGTCCTTCACAAAATGTCTTTCACCCACTTTTTCTTAGACAATCCTTTAGAGATTTGGAGCCATATGCAAGAACTTAAAGTCCATCTCAAATCTAATCAGACCTGAAAGGAATTCGATGAAATGTATTTCTAGAGCTGAACTAGGGGAGTTTTCAGCTGGACTTGAATAGATATAGACTGACATAGATATAGTAACTGCCTCATTATCAGATCAGAAGAAAATTAACTGCAGATAAACAAATTGCTTGAGAAACATGACCATAGAAGACAAGAAAGAGATAGATGAGCTGGGGAAGGGAGCAAAGAAGGCAATCATTGAAAAATGAAACCATAAAAATCAAGGAAGAAGCAGAAATGGATGACATTCTAGAACTGCTGGAGGAAATTGAGGCCTAACATCTCTCAGAACATGTAAAAACAAAGGGAGATACAGAAACAATGCTGTCAAAGTAAGGAAAAATCCACCTATATTGTAGAACAATTGAAAATATAAAAGAAGCTAGCTTTGAACCATGGCAGAGTGGAACATACCCCATTAAAACATTGCTGAAAATCCCAAATGGTTATGAAGGAAAAATAGTTCAGCCAAGGCACACATGAAATATCAAAATATGTGGTACTAGAGGAACAGGTCAGGAACGAAAAGCTCACCCAGAAATAAAAGGTCTTCTGTAATACCCTTTTAAAATTTATCCATGCCAAATAAGGAAAATCAAGTTAAAACCTTAGATCAGGGGTAGGCAACCTACAGTGAAGAGATTTCATCCAGCCTGCCAAGAACACCAAGGAGAATTTATTTTACATTTCATTTATTCCTTTTGAAACCTCGTACTCACTCCTCCGGGCAGGGCAGCCCTACAATCAATTATACTCTCCAGCCAGCCATAGGACCGAACCATGTTAATCTGGTCTGCAATTACTGAAAGGTTGTCAACCCCTGCCTTAGATGATGATAGGGTCATCTGAGCATCCAGTTCTAAGAAGTAAAGGCAGCAAAATGAAGATGAGAAACAGAAATGATCCTGGCAATGGTGAAGTTAGAAAAGAAATGATGAGGAGATGCCATGATAAATATGATGCACTCAATCTACAACACCAACTGAGAGAAGTAGCCTATATACCTGTTGCCTGGCAGAGAGCAATGTCGGCAAAGGGTCACTGATCCCTCCCTTTGCGATCTGGCTCTATTGCGTGATAAAAACAATTCCCTTTTTTTGATACTGCAAACAAGCTGTAAGAAATTGCTCCAAGTAGGAATCAGCAGAACCAAGATTGCAAACACTCTCATGAGGTGATAAGTTAACAATTGAATTCAGCAGCAGAAATGAGTGCCAACTACAAATACTTAAAATTTTCACACAGACAAGCAAAAGTAGATAAAATTCACTTACAGGAATCAGATCAGTTTTTTTTTCTAAGGGCCATTAAGGAAAGATGTGAGATACATAGGCAAAAGAGGAACCCCCCTACTCACGGGGGGGTGTGTGGATTGGACTGTGAACTGGTAAACTAGTGGCCGACTCTCCTAAGGATACTAGTGGGGAAGACTCCAACCTTTTTCTGCTTGAGGAGAGACGTGAGAGTAACCTATGACAGCAGTGTCCCCAAGATGTTTCAGCAGCCATTCCAATGTGACCATCCTCTTCAGATGCATAAATGAACTTTTCCAGCTTTGACTGGGGGAAGCCTTCTTCATAAAACATCTACAACAGATGATACCATGCATGTAAGAGAGTGAAACAAGCAGAGAAAACAAAGGTTGTAGCACTATATCTTTTCATGTAAATTTAAAATAAGCATGTCTATTATATTCTTCTCCCTGATAATAGAACATTTTGATCATGGATTTAAGAGTTACCTAGATCATGAAAAGATATTTTTTAAACTTGATTTCTACAACTTTTCTAATTATATTTTCTCCCTTCCTACAGGTAGGCAGGAAGGCATCCTTCACTGCATCAAGTTTAGAGCTGGTTTCAATGTGAAATCAAATAACTTGGATTTAGGCAAAAAAAGAACTTACTTTTACTGTTTCATAGGCATCAAGGATGATGCCTATAAAGAGACTGAGGATGCAATAGATGAAGAGGGTGATGAAGGAGTAGAGATAGATTCGGAGATACCAGAAAACCAATGGTGATTCTTCCCTCAAAACCCAGAAGGATGCAAACATGTCATCTCCATTCATGAGGGCAAACAGGCACTCAGCTGTCTTGTATATAGTTGCAAACTAGAAGACAAAAAAGATTGCATTGTGAACAATTCTATAGCATCATTAACACGTTGACTGCCACGGAAATGCTGGCATATTGATTTTCCCATTCAGTGAGGTGCACCGGTGTGCCTCGTCAAAGTGTTAAGAAATGTGAGAAGTTACAATGAATGCAAGGCCACCATGAAAGGCCATCACAATGCCCAGGGACCTTGCAAACTTTCAATTATTATTTATTGTAAAGATGTTATCCTTCCCTAAGCATTCATAACTGTGTAAAATTCTACATTTCCAATGATACATCATGTGCAATATCATGACTAGAGAGAAATTATTCATTGGATACTTAAGTATTTCTTAATCATTCATAAGGAACAAAATTGCTTTCTGAAGAAAAACTTTTCAACTCATTAATGCATCTAGGGATGGATCTACTAGTTCTTTCTTGCCATCAAAGATTGGGAGAATACAAAAAAAAATTAACACTTGCCAGAACACAAAGAAATGCAAAAAGCAATGCTGTAATCTATATAGAGAAGTGCTAGAAAATATAAAATGGCATAAGGATGACCTTGACCTTTGACTTCTACCTTTTGGACAGGTGAAAACCTATCCATAAAGCTCCAGCCCTGATTTGGAAGAAGAATCTTCATCTTTGATGAATAAAATACATTCCATTTTTTCCTTGAAAAGGAACTTTTGAATAACTGTTTACTCTCTATGCTTCAAATTTAATATCATGCTATGAAATGAGTGGTACTTGAAATCACACAACATTCAAGGTGCACATAACTTAAGTATTTGATTGAATTTGAATAAACAGTAAATAGTGGAGAACGTCTGCAATACCATTGTGATGATGAAGTACTGTACAACAGACATGAACAACAATGGTAAAGCAATGATAAAATACCAATAGCCAAAAGTCAGAGAAAAAGAGATTACCTTGATATGATATGGCCCCAGGACCAGCCAGCCACAAAGGACAAAGCCAAAATATATGAGGAGGACACAAAGGAGGAAACGCATGACATTTGGAAGAGCCCTCTTCAAGGTCAGGATCAAAATCTATGGAAAAGAAACCAAGCAATCCAGGGTTCAAACAAAAACCAGAGATTTAAATATTCTAGCATTTTCAGATCTTCTGTGGGATATCTTCTGCTTTCAAGATTAGCCTTTTTCAATGGACCCACCTTTCAGTTACTTTTCAAGCAAATACAAAATCACATTCACTCAGTTGACTTTCTCATGACCTTCAGGAAATTGGAATGATTTCCCTGTCATAAGGGGAAAAAAGGGGAGGAAACATCAATTTAGAAAGCATAAGACATACATTGTATTTTTGGAAGAGACCAAGATATCGGAGTACCCCAATCCAAACCAGGAGATTTCCTGTCCCCAACATCACAGCACACACATTCCACAAGTCTCCCTCAATCCTCTGCATGATACATCACAAATGAACAATAAAGGGGAATCAATTCAACAGGTCAAGTCTCCTTTCAACACTTGCCCTTGTTTCAATCAGTTGTTTGAAAAGGGAACCAATGATGATGAGGAAGTCATTGACAATGATCATGATGTACCAAAGATTGAGGAACTCCAACTGGTCACTCCACTCCAACTTCTCATCCATTTCATTCTCAAAAAAAAGCATTGTTTCCTGAAATTCCAAAAAATAATTGTTCTTTAGCCATTATGATTCTTCAGGTTTTTTTGCATTCATATCTCACTTCTAATTTGGTGATGAACTCACACATTTCAGCTTCTGTGCTCTTACAATGGCACGTATACAGAGAATGAAGGAACACAGGCAGAAAAGCATAATGACAATGTTCAGAACGGCCCTTCCCACTTCTGCTTCAATTCCATGATCTGGGGAAATAAGAATTTCCATACATGATTTTATCTTGTAAGTCCCACTTCCATTCTGGTCTGGGAATATAATTTTCCCACAACGCAATGGTTCCATACAGCCCAATTTACAGAAAATAAAAACTATCCAGTCTCAAATGCAACCATTTTACCAAATTACAATGCAGGTGGGCCATGGCATGGAGGATCACAAACTTTTGACTGAGTGCAAAGTTTAGATTAAAATTTTTTATTTTTGAAAGATGCATGAAATAAAATAAAATTGAATGCATTCATTTTCAGTTGGGCTTCCATAGGAACACTTACTTAAATAGATTTTTATAGGAGCACATGATCAAGTTGAATGTATTAAAGTTGATTGGATTTCATGCATGCAGTATATTGACTTTTGTCAGAAGGAATTTACTAAGAAATATGACTTTCTAAATTTCATCCTATCACATTTACATCTCTTAAGAGGAGAATGTCAGAAGGAATTACTAACCAGTTCTTCACATATTATGACCCCACTTAATTCTATACTTCTGTAAATTGCACCTCTATAAATAGACCTTTTTGGATTAGTACATTCACCCTTGAAAATTGTCAACTTGTTGGAAGATGAAGACTGTGAGAAGACATACCAACATAAGAAGTTTCACCTCGGCAGACCAATTTTTCAGGCGTTAGGTAGAGGGATATTATCATTTGACCATCATGGTCGGCATTATCAAACAGCACCTGTAGAAACCAGAAATGCATATCATGAACATGTTCATCTCAACTTGCATTCACCAAAAAATTTTGCAACCAGACACACAATTAACAAATCTACAAAAAGGTTGCTGGTGTATCCATGCTCACAAACCCAGAGTAGAATGGCTGAATTATAGATGCATTCACAATCCCTGCCATGCATACTTGGTTAACAAGAATGGCCCAAATAAGCTAGGTGAAATTTATGCCATCATGCTAAATTACCTAAGACACAATCACAACCAATATCTTCAAGAAAGAGTGGATTCAACCTAATGTAGAAACAAATGTCAAGAGTCAAAAGGAAGATTTGTTTTTTATTCCTTTACATTCTAAAAACTCTACAATTACTAACTTAAGATTCCTCTGATACATACTTTTACACCATGACCTAGGGACTTTAAAAGAGAACCTGTTACAAAGCAATTGCCAAAGATTTTCTTATCCAGTACCAAATACTGTACTTTACTATTAGCAGCTTAACAAATACATTCAATAAAAGAAAAATGAAATTTTGCTTCTATTTTCTTCCAACATTGCATTCTGTATTTTGGTTGAATTGAGTTCATTTGTTCAAAAGATGGACCATGTTGTTATGGTGTGTCTATGTGGTATCCAAGTTTACAAGGAAAAAGCTCCATATTTCCAACTGACAAGATGATTACTTTTTGGAATAACTTTGCTTACTGCTTTTGGAAGCTAATGAAATTCTTGATTTCAAATATTGCCTTCACTTTTGCTGAGGAAATGTTATGTTAATTGTAAGTTCAGCTCTAAGCTCAAGTATTGGATATTAAAGTGTCACACTCAATCCCAAGAAACATGGATGAAGTAGCAATGGAAGGTTTGCTCCAGGCAGATGGAAAATTTATATTTTATTAATTTATTCATCAAGACATGAAAGAGGCAGCACAAAGGACTATATATGTTGGTAGATGATACAATTCCTTTCAACAGTAAGCTTTGATAGAGGAACTTTGAAGATCCTAATCTAGAAAAAAGGCTTAAATAAGGGTTTTAATTTACTCCAAGCTCAAGACCACAGACCTCTTCTTCCATTTACTACATTGGGAACAAGTTACTAGCAAATTTATGAGTGGGCCTACTGATAACCATCAGATTAATCACAACCTTGAGAGTCAAAACAGAATTTACTATAAAATACAAGATGAAAAGCATCATAGTTACTATCAGAGCAGATAAATACTACATTACCGATCATGAAACAAGCCTAAAGCAGAGAAATGCCTGTCAAGATACTTCCTACATGACTGGAAAATAAAAAAAGTTTATTGTACAGGGCAGGCCAAAAAAAAATATTTGGTTATCTTTAACATTTCATGGGCGCAGTTTCTCGAGAGTTTGAAAATATTGCAACAGCATCTCTCAATAATACAATAATTTAGCTATCCACCAAAGTCAAAAGATTCAAGATCCATTCCATCATCCAGATGCAGTTATGCACAGAGAAACAGGGGTAGCACTTGAAAAGTGCACTTATCAGTACCCTGCAAGATGTGCTCCAGGTGACATCCATTCCTTCACTTCCACATTTGCAATCTTGCCAAGGCATTTTTCACAATTCCAGCACCACCTCCTAAACTCTTTATCCAACTGCATTGAAGTTATGCCATGAATCTTTATTCTGTTGACATTGGAAAGCTGAATGAAAGTTCTATATAGAGGCACTGTTGCAATTTTAGCAAACTCTTGGGGACCAGTGCTGTGGAGTGATAAAGATCATTTATGTTTTTTTTGGCCCACCCTGCATTAGCAGATCAGAGATAAGCCTACAGGTGGAACCAGATTAAGTTTCCTCAGTGATTTAAAGAAGAGACCTTTGTCCCCATGCGCTAGGGTTTATTCATTAACATTTGGGTCTATTATCCCTAAGGTGAAGTGAAAGATCCCTTTAACCCTTTTGTGCATGAATTTTTAAAGCAAAACAGAAATATGCCATTTATGGTTTAATGTTTACAGAGGTACTCTGCCGTAGTAGTCGAATGTTTTACTGCTAGAAAGCAACACTGAACAGATTATGTGCCTTTGAGTTGACTGCATGCACCAAAAGTTTCAAGGTGTGAGTACCATGACTGAAAACTCATAATTATCGCCAAAAACTTTGTTGTCCACTACAGTGGACACCATGCACGAAAGGGTTAATTCATACAGGGTCAGAGAGGGAAGATCTTCACTACTCACCAAGCCTTTCAACTTGTAGCATTCTGGAACTTGGAGAGGGGTATCAGCACGGAAGTTGACTGTCTTCAGGTAAAATATCAGTTCAACTTTCACCAGTGCATCAAAACTGATGCTCATGTCATTGTCTTCAAGAAATGGCACTGCACGGAAATTGCCAGAAGGCACTTTCTCTTTCGGCCATGATGCATTGGGTTCAGGGTTAATATCATCTGATGGAATAATCTTCAAGCAATCTGAGAAGCACAACATAACCAAAGTGCTATAAGCCAATTTTAGGTCTTCTCCAAATCAGGGACATTGTCAGACACAAATTCATCAACACAGGAATGATAAGACATGCCAAGGACAAGAAAATAAAAATTGAACCCCACATATTTCTCTTCTCTCAAGGAATCATGCTTCTCACTCAAAGAAGTGCCCCATTATCCAATAAGGAGAGGATTTTTAAAATCTAGATTGTCAAAGAAAAGGAATGTAAAAGTGAAGAAGGAGAGGATGCAGAAAAATGAACATTGCAAAGGCTTTCAAGAGATTCTCATGGTATAGAATGCAGTGAAGTAAATTTTTCTAGTTTTATGATTATAATGAGCATGATTAAATAAAAATGCATGTTTCGTATGGCATGGCATAAGCCTCTCTGTTGAGCCAAATGTTCTCATTTTCAAAGCCAGCAACTGAATTTTGGGACAAAAAGTAGAGAGGTAACGATATTGAATTTTGGCCAATATCTGATACACTGATATTCCAATACCTGAAAAAAAAAATCTATATCTGTATCCACACATTCAAGCTTTAACCCCTCCAATGCTGAGTTTTATTCAGGACTAAGTCTGATGGTGAAGGCATGAGGTGCACGATATCCAGTGGTGAGAAGAAATGTTTTGTTCATGCTGAAGCCATACTCTTCAATCTGGACTTCAATACATTATATTAGATATTTTCTTTGCAAGGAAAGCACTCAGTAAAAAATTATTTTCTCTAAGTTCCCTCTTTATCTCCTCTGGAAACCCAGAGGAACACGACTGGCAGATTGTCATCATCAGATAATTTGCCATGCAGGTGAAATGTGAACATAACTACTGTTCAGGAAAGTTCTAAGGCGAATAATTATATTTACTATAATATAAATATATTTAAAAAAAAAATAGAATTATTACATTATAAATATTAAAAGTAAATTAGGGCTGCACCGATGTATCAACAATCACCAGTATAGGCCGCCGATGTTGCACCATCGGCCGGGTTGCAAGCTGCCGATGCTGATGTCCGAAGGAGGGGCAAAATAAATGTAAAAAATTACGTGATTGTGTGAGAACGCGGCTAGGCGCCGGCCCTCCTGTCTCACTGAAAGCCACTCCTGCCGGTCTCTCTCAGACAAAAATATCGATCCGATTATAATTCAGCCCGATTGTAGGAATTGGCGGAGGATAGTAGCGGTAAATAAAGGGAAATCATTGCCCCTTTTACGCTATGCATTAGTGAAAGACGTGTCGTTAAATGCTCCTAGCAGCAATTGGTAACAAGCTTGCCATTGACACAGACAGGCTGGACAGGGTGAAAAGTGGTCTCTATCGTTTTCAGGAGACCCACTGATAGTATCGCAAGGCTTCCAAATAGGCCTATTTGAATTCGTATGCGATTTCATGTTACTTTCTTCAATCCATAGACCACCATCGGCTCCGGCCGATGGGTATAAAATCAAAAACGGCCATCGGGACGTCGGCCAAATGTCATCGGTACAGCCCTAAAATTAATATATAGATAATAAAATTCTTAAAAATCGGTGGTTCCATATGGAACCTATGGACAGGAAAGGGTTGACATCAGACCATTGTTTAGCGATTAGTAGATCTAGGTTTTGGGATCCACTTAGGCCTAGGTTCTTCGCGCAAACCCCAGCAATGTCTATGATCGCAGAAAACATGGAGAAATGGTGGCATTAGGCTGAGTTTGTTACAGTACATTAAATTAGGGTTGATAGATAACATATCCCATCTCTCACGTCTCTGGAAGAGGACCTTGAAGAACTCCGACAGTAAAGTCGAACCCAGGTGGCTCATCTCAAGGTTAACCACTTAGGCCAAATTGAACTGACGGTACGGGGGGGGGGTTAGCTGGTGCTCCTGAGTCGGGGCGAAGTTATAGGGTAAGAGTCCCCTTGCACCTCCCATTCCCAGTCCGAAGGGGAAAATATGCTAACATTTTGCATAGCCTAATACCTTCTTGTTCCATGAAGACATGTCATTAGGGCGTTTTTAACCTTCCTATGACAAAAATGAGTGAATATCTATCGCTCACTATAAATTCTAACGTTTGGCTTAAGTCAGGTGTCCGTTCGATATCGGTTAGCAGCTGCTCATATATCGTATCCGGCCGATATATCTGTTTCACTCAATATAGGTCGAAACTGATAACCGAAAAAATATTGTTGCATCTCTAACAAAAAGCAAACCATTTAAAAAACCATCTAAAATGCGCAAAGGTGCTTTGAATCCTATTGTTGTTCCTCTATCAAAAGAGGTTACTCTAAATTCTAGGACACTATCCATATACTTAGTTTTACATTAAGTTCAACAGTTTTCCCATCTTAACATGAAAAAAATACGGCAGGCCAAGCTTTAATCAGCACCTCCATAACTTGACATTGAGGTCAGGCTCCACAGTTTGAATTTTTAGTAAGTATAACTTGGTAGTCTTGGCAGAATTGAGTGAAAACAAGTTGAACTGAGAAGAAAAGTACAACAGTAAGTAACAGCCAGGATTAGAATGGTAAGAAAGAAAAACTGCACTCAGGAATATTGCTTCAAGCATGAAACAACAGAGGAAAAAGCAATAGCACAACTCACTTTTCACTATTGCTGAGTCAAAAATGTAGCTCTCATTGAAGCCAAAAGCAGTTCCCTTCTTAAAGGAAGATAAACACAACTCCAAAGGAGCTATAGTTCCATTTGAATTTGTATAAGAAAAGGGACCAATGGCATCATTCACCGATGAATACTGAAACAAATCAGGACACAACTGATAAGACAGATCACCACTAAAAAATTTCACAATATCATATGCTAAATTCATCAAGTTATGATCCACTCAATCCAAACTGCAAGCAATCAAGAAGGTCAAGCCAAGTGGGTAAAAAAGCCTCACCGTGTACACAGGTGGAAGTCACGTTCACTGAACTACACCAAGTTTCAAAAGAAAGACAGCCCCAAAATAATATTTTTAGGGGTGAGTACAACACTACATGTATGGATTGTTGTAAACCAATTGAAAGAGGACACAATTTGCTCCATACATTTGGATTTTCATCCCTGTTGCATAATTGTAGCCACCATAGCAGCTATTTCAAAACTTGTACTTCAAATTAGGCCACTGCTTGTATGTAGACATTGATAAACTCAGCAAATCAAGTTCATTCCATTACTGTCTCCACATCTATGTTTACTGCAGTTCTTTTCTTGCCTGTTTGATGCAATGTTGTATATCATTGAAATAAAAATATGGAGAATGGTACTAGAAAGAGGTGGTCTCATACATGAATTTCGGTCAATGTCCAACATTCAGCATATAAGACAGATAAAATAACCAAAGTGATCAGGAAGGGGAACAAAATATATTCCAGGACTTACAGCATTGACTGCATGTTCAAGATAAGAGAAAAAATCAGTCTTTGTGTAGATAGAAAGAGGTCCTTGGCCTGGAGGATAGACAACACTCTCTCGTTCTGGCCCCCAGTCACGTAAAAATATGCTCCTCAACGTCGTTTGCATGTCCTCCACATAGTTCACATGAGAGTAGCGATAGCGGGAGAACAGGACCAACTGAAAATACAAGGAAAATATTAATATGAAAGTGCCTTTCAAATAACAGAAGCCACATGATCTGAAACCACACTGCAATGGCCTATGAGAATGCTAAAAAGCAGAAGAGTATTGACCAAAATTTACAGGGTTGGCCAAAAAAAGTAAGCCACTTTTAATTTTATGATGAAATCCATATCTTCAAATGGATTGACATTAAAATTAATGAAATTTGTCTAATAAGCTCTTGAAGTTTCATGCACCTTGGGTCCATCCAATCATAAGTTTGGGCAGATTTTGTCAATATGGCCAAGATTCTGAGTGAACAGGTATGCAACTGCTGCTGCTAGGCATGAACCCACATTTTATTTTATTTTATTTTTTGTTTTGCTGGACAGATCATCATGAAATCTTAGCAGGACATTGCCAAATATGCGTTTCTTACCATCTGAAATGTGAATAAATTCCCAGGCATTTGTGGATTTTTGTCACACAGCAGTCACATACCTGTTCATGCATATTTTCACAAAATCTGCCATAACTCAAGTGTGGGTGGACAAAGGAGCATGAAACTTCGACAACTCTTCAAGAACATAAGAAAATTTTCATTTAAATTTTCAAGTCAATCCATGTTAAAACATTGATTTTTATCACAAAATTAAAAGGGTCTTACTTTTTTTTGGCCAACCCTATAGAATGAGCTTTTTAAAATCTGACAATTCCATAAACTATAGGGGATGGGAAGAATTTCTCAAGTGCTTATCAAGATGCACCATACTTGGTCTTAGCAAAGTTCTTGGAATCAGAGAAAAGGAAGAATTGTATTAGTCTGAAGCAAAAAGGGAAATTCTACCACCAGTTCACATATATATTTAATTATCATCTGTTTTTTTGACAATATTGTTTTATGTGAGCAATGAAAGGATGACCCAGGACAAAATATTTCCAACTTTATCCTTGTAGATTCTACCAACCTGCCACAAGGAAATATCTAAACACTATGTATATTCTCCTATCCATAGTCAAGAAGTACCTCAATCATCTACTCAGGTGGGTATGAAAAGCTACTTGTCATGAGCGAAAAGAATGACATGCATATTACAGTTGCATTGAGAAGAATCAAGGCAATCAAATGTTCAACCATCTTACAGAAGGGAAGGAGATACTTCTTGCTCAATATGCATACCAAATTACTAAATTTTGTGCAATCCTTTCCACACTTAAGGAGACAAATGTGAACATATCCACTATAATTAAAACTATGCTAACAATGCAGCAAGTTGATTGGTGCACTCATTGGCACCCAATTTCGAACAGTATCAGAAGGCAAATTGCTGTTTGAAGAAATTTTGGAAAATGGGAATGTATTTCATCTCAATACAAAGGAGTTGTGCAGACAAGGCACCAATTGTATAATACATTGTTATATGATAAGCAAAGATTAGCAGTAGAAGAGTTGGCTTCATATGTTGACAGTTATAGCATCATGAATTGTTGTAGTGCATTTGGAGTGTACTAGGAAATACCGAAGCACAGATGCATATGCAGATCTTTCCAAAGCTCAAATTTCTGCATTGTGGAAACTAGACTAACCTGTTGGATCACAGAGTCCAAGTCCATTGCAAGTAGAGATCAGAATTTTGTATCACTCATTGAAAAAATTGAAATTGATTAATAAGTGAATCCCAATCACTTCATAAAGCACAAACTAAGCCTGCTTTGACCAAAGGGGGCAAACCTGTAAAGTAACCAAGACGATTTTGATGAGCTGAATAATGAGCTTGAAGGGGAACTTCTTCCTGGCCCTCCATTTCTCCAATGGGTTCATGAAGTAAAAGCGAAGATCATCTCGAAGTTCTCCTTCTGTGTATACTCTTCTTTCTCCTCCTCTTTTTCTCAATCCAAGTATCTGTGTCTCACTTTCTGCATCTGCATTAATGCTTCCAGACATTGTCTCATCCACTGAAATAGAACTTCTGTCATCACAAAATGAAAAAAGGATTCAGGGATAGAAACAAGACCAACAGATAAGAACTGAGTCTAGAGTACCACTACCAACAGCTTTAAACATTGCAATGTTTCATAGTTCTTAGCCATAGGTTGACAAGGTCAGTCAAAAAGGATAAACAAAAACTGTAATAATATACTCTGCCCTGTCAGTATATGAATGAAAAGCAGGTTTGACCCACTCATTTATGAGCTGAGGGCACCATAGTAGCAATATATGGCAATAGAATAGGGCAGTTCTTTTTTTCTCCTGTTTGAATGGTACCAGACATCAAGATATAAAGGCTGAGCACATTCCAGGGACTAAGTTGATGCCTTTTGGTTCATAATGCATATTTTCAGCAGGACAACTCCTTCTGTGTCATAGTAAAAGGAATCCATGTGAGATGTGAGGTGCATAATAACAACCCTATCTCATGGCATGCATAGAGCCCTGATTTCAATCCAAATGAACACTGCTGGAATGTTGCCAATGCCAAATTTGAATTCATGTCGCACAGCTACCTATTCTACTTCAGCTATAAGACTCTCTGACTGCAGAATGAAAGAGGATCTTACTGGAATGCTGTCTAGAACCAGTGGACAGCATGACTTGACAGATCACATCAGTTATTCATGCCACAGCAGTCCTGCACCTTTGTCAGCATGCCAATACTACATCCCTCCTTTTTGCAGTGTCTGGATACTTTTGGCAGGGCAGAACATAAGGGCTATGGACTTCCCATAATGGCCTGCTGACCTCTGGGATTTCAAAGAATATCACGCTCTCCAATACATAATTTGTATGCATAAGTAAATTTGTACAAGTTCTCCTTAAATGCAGAGATACCACACAAGGCAACAATTGAAATTACTGCCCAAATAAATCTACAGGAGATGCAGTTATTTCATATAACTGCATCTCAAGGGATGCTCTACGCCAACTTCTAGGCAGTGGCGAGTGAATTAATCAGGACACTTCCCTCTATTCCATTTATGGTTCTGATTTTGAAAGTTGAAGATGGAATACACAGTCAAGGAGAAGGACAAGGCTAGCTGCAGATATGCTTAGTGGTTTTGGAAAGGGAAAGGTGATTTTTGAAGGTTTCAATTGCATCTGACCACCAAATTTTAGGTAAGAGATGTTACCTCAATCCAGCAATATTCTATCCTAGAAGGGTGATGGATTTGCTCCATTAGTACATCATTTTTCATACCAAAACCCATTTCAAGATAATTAATCCACTCCAATACAATCAAGTTATATCCTTGGGATGTAATATCATTCTGGTACAATCATATACACCCAAACACAAGAACAACAAAGCAGAAGCGTTTTGAAAAGTATTGCCTCAGATGCAATGATAAAAATACTACTTGCCAAAAGCAAGTCTTTCTGCCCTTCTTGAAAATATATTTTCCAACCTATTGAAAATAAAAATAAAATCCTATTGGAATGGATCAAGAGAAAGGGTTTGAAATCCTTCAGTCCCAATATTAAAAACCAGACATATTTTACAGTTTTACCTAGGCTTGTTGCAAATCACAACAAAACTAGCCTCTTAACTCTTATTTTCCCTCTAGTCTGTAGATTCAGTGACTTCACCATAGAATTGGAATGAATAGTCAAACAGTAAGCATGCATAGGTAACCTATCGGCCTACTTCAGCACTTTCTTGAGCATTACCTTGTTCCACTTTGTGTTGATGAAAAGTCTAAACAAGAAGCAGCCTATACTGTGATCCTTAACAGTGGGGTACGCTTCTCAAATTCTGCTTCTAACATCCCTCCTCCCCTTTTTCATTTTCAGTACTACTATCTAATAAGAACAGCAACTGATAAGAACCTGCATTAATTCTAAATTGCATGTGATTTATTTTAAACCCTCACATTTTATGGCAGCCATGACAGAAAACTTTAAGCACTCCCTGGTATATAATCCTCTAAACCAGGGATCAGGAACCTTTTTGGCCATGTGAGCCATATTTAGATTGAGCTAAGTGCTTGTGAGCAAGAGTTTAAAAAAAAAACATAATTTTTCCTGAAATTGGCAGCAGACATGCATTCTTCGATACATGAGAAAAATGAGAAACACCCATGATTTCCAGCCATGACTTAATGAGCCAAACTTTTCGGCTCGTGAGCCGCATTTGGCTCATGAGCCATAGGTTCCCGACCCCTGCTCTAAGCAGTCTGTCAAAATGACAGAGACAACTTTGGCATGAAAACTGATATTCTGCTTTGATGCTACTTATGCAACAGGTCAAGAAAACCTCGCATCATTCACCATATAGACTGAAGGCAACTTGGGTCAACATGCAATTTAAAAGTATGCAACGGAACCTTATCCATATAGACCAATATAGACTAGCAAATAAATTTGTTCCGTGATTGATGGTGAAATCATGTGGAAGGTACGGGCTGCCCATACTTATCGTAACTTCATGATTAAAAAAGTTATAATGGTGATTAGAATCGCAGATTAGTCTAGGCCTTAAAATATGTAGAACACGCGAGACACTGTTACCATGTATATCGCCATGTCTGGGGTCAGTGTTGTCAGAGTGGAAGTCGGTGGCACCCAACAACGTGAGCGAATGATTGGGTCGGGTATTTCTAGCATCACTCATCGTGCTCGCTCGGCGGAAAAGAAACTGGAACCAGCTCCTCCCTCTTTGCATTCTCCTCTTACGAGTCCACGTCCTCCCCTGCAACAAGGGACTCTAGGTGAAGTGTTTGGCTGACGTGCGTAGAACGTCCATCAGCTCCACGCTGATCTCCCTCGATCCACAGCACGCCCATTGTTATACCCAGATGTAGTAATCTTCTCACTGAACAGAACTGAGATGTTGAAATTTCCTACTCAGCTGGCCGGGACAGGCGAGTGGCTCGCTCGGTTCTTAAGGGGGCTCCGGTTAGAAACCAAGGCAGGCGTTTCTTTCCGACTCGAAGCCCCAATTTCACTTGGAAAGGGTGAAAGGAGGCGCCAGTCGGAGCTAAACACTCCCCCTCAAAATTCAGTCTCCTAAGGTATCTGGGATACAATAGGGGGCTAATTGAGTGAAAATATCAAACAGTCGCACCTAAAACCTCAATCCTCCGGGAGAATAACGTGAGTGAAAAACAGAGTGAAGGTGTCGGAACTACTCCCAACCGGAGAACATTTTATCAGATAAAAACTAACCCCCATGATACGAAATATCTCCGCTTCCCCTTTCATTCCAGCCTTTGTTTCTCGTTTTTTGAAACGAAAAGATAAAACAAAAGATAGAAGATAAACTTCGTAACTTATTTTTCACCTTTCTTTACCTACTTTGCTTGCTCTTCGTCCCGCAAATGTCTTCTTAGTTTTGTCCGTCTCTGCTTCATTTTATTTGTTTTCTTCATGTTGGTCTTCTCTGAAACGGGGTCGAGCACTCCTTCCCTTTTCTATTTAGACTATCTTGTATTTCTTATTCCCTCTTTTTATTTATCTCCCTTTTTCAAAAATTTCTGCATGAACCTTTATATACTCAGAAGATGTAGAACACGCTCCCCCGAAACCTCGACTTTTATCCCTTAAACTTTTCCCACTTGAGATTTGTCCCCTATGACCTTATTCAAAAGTAAGTTGGAGTCAGATTACTGCTGTAATCGCGGCTGGGCCTTTTCTCGGAAATCCGACAGGAAAACACGGCGCTTATCTTGGCCCCCTGTATCTAATAACATGTCACCCCGCTTCGTATTTCTTTTTTTGAGGCGCAAGCAACCCCGAAACACGTGATACCGATCGTAACGTGGGATATAGGAAAGGGGAAAGGTCAGGATCGATGGACTCGGACTCTTCCCAGGCCTGATATACTCCGTGTCCTATACGTGTCCGATACGCCGAAGAACCAAACTGTTTACGACCGAAAACTTCCCCCCGTTTTTTAAGCGCCAGCTTCTATTCGTGAGTCCCGAGGTTTTCAAGGATCCCTTCCAATTACTTTCCACCGGAATCACTATGATTGATTGCAGAACACCATCGTCTCCCGCGTTACGCTGTGTTTCTTCTCATCCACCGGCAGTGGCGGATACAGAAATTTTTTTTATAGGGGGGGGGGACGGTTCCCTAGTTCCTACCTACCTACCATACCCGCCCTATTGCATTTTCCATTTCTTGCCTGGGGTAAAAACTTTAATATCTATTTCGCTGGTCCCAAAACAAATTAATGTCGAAGCTATAGAAAAAAATAAGTAAAAAAATAGAATGCTAACCTGGCCATAGGTTAGTCGCCACCCCCCCTGAATCCGCCACTGTTCACCAGTAGGTTTGCTGACTGCACGAGTTAAATCCGACGCCTGATTTTCCAAGTGGGGTCACGTCCTGCGGTTTCTGCCTCAAGGTTGAATGGTTCCGAAACTGTATGATCCCTTCCTCAGAGTCCCAGACTGAGCCCACATTGCGTTCACGACCGTGTCTCCCGGTGTCGTCTGCTTCACTGGTCTCTGGTTCCAGCGTTTCCGTAGAAACCTCTGCTGGTCATGTCACGCCAAGGGTAAGGCGAGAGAGAGAGTTTTTGACGAAATTGGCTCAGTTTTCTCGCATTTTTGTGGTCTTGAGAGAAAACAGAAACCCTCAGCGCGCATCTATGTTTCACATCAAAATGGATTGAGCCTCGGACGAAAACGCTCCTAATTTTCAGTCCATTTAGTAAATTAGGAAGAGCTTTAACACTTCCAGTCAGAAATTACTTTCTGCGTGTTTTTGTTTCTTTTTCATTATAAAAAGTTGTAATTTCACGAAAAATGCAAATCAGCCTTCAATTTCAATGCTTTTTAATGACATTACAAGCAATAATTAGAGATATTAGTGGTCGCCATGGTTTCAATTGCTATATGAATGAATGGGTGAAATAAATTAAGGAAAATACCTTTCACGTTCCATGCCCGGTCGAGATAGACTACGGGACACAGATATTTACTAGTAAAAGGAGAAAAGGAAATACGAGGGTAAAAAGCTCTTTTTATTGGGTTGGAAAGAAAGTCTTGCAACACTGCGCAAATTTTTCAAAATTTTATAACTTTATTGAAATGCAATTTCAGTCTACAATGTTATGACCATTGTTGTCTATGACATGTTCCCAACGCACGGGTAACTGCTCGATGCCAGTTCGATCGGAGCCATGGCTGCCAACTGATGGCAGAAGCCGCCTTATATACCCCGAGGGCAGAAGCCTCGAGAACATTCCAGCATATACAAAGGCAAAGCCCCGCCCATCGTTCCTTTGAAAATTGTTATAAATAGTTTTCGAAAGTGTTGCAAGACTTTCTTTCCAACCCAATACTTGCACGGATGAAAGCGGAATTTTTTTTTTCCCCCTACGATCTCAAGGAAAAAGTGACTGACCACCAGAAAGTATCGACGATTCCTTCGGCTCAAAGGCCAATTCGACCAGATGGAACCTCCGCTAACAGATATAGAGAGACACAGCGAACTTTCAGTCCCACTTTAGACACCGAAGTCCACAGAGAGCACATGCGGATTCCGGAGGCAGATTCGCAGTTGCATCCACCGCTTGTGCTCGCAGCTGGAGAGGAGAGAAATCAATGAGATAAAGGGAGACCATCCACGAGGAGATATGGTGATTCTTCGTTCCATAGCAAAAATATCACCTGTGACTAAGAGGATCATGGCCGCACTAAAGCAATTTATTGCATTAAAACAACGTATTGCACAGAGGCAATTTATTGCACAAGGCAATAATTGCTTTAGTCCATAAAGCAATAATTGCTTTAGTCAGGCCGATAATCCGTGGATTTTCTTCGCATCGGCCGAGGCCGTCGAAACCGACGGGCGATTCAGAATACAAAAGAGAACCGAACGGCTGCGAATAATAATTCCATTTCCGATGCTCGGACAATAAGCTTGCCTTCGAGCGAATGCTTTCCGATGCGAATCCTCGCAGTCAGAACTGATGAATTATGAAGAGAGATTTTCTCGGGAGCTTTTTGCTCATGCTCCGCGTGATTCATCCTCGCCGGAAGCGAAGTCGCTCTTATCTCGGACGGCAACCTCGAACATACCAAGAATTTTCCTCCTCATCCCACGATAACCGAAAATAAACCGAAGAGTGTTTCATACGAACTTCGCCCCGAGACAATCCGGATCGGATCGCGGCGCTGGCGCGACTCGATATTCCGCTTCGTTTTGGAAGCTGTCAGAGTTTAACGATTCCGAAGTTGGAGTCCAGGTCGGGTTTGTAAGCCGAAGAGTCTGATGGCCTTCACAAACTTGCTGGAGTTTTAATTACTCCCAAGTAATTATTTATGAATCTAAAGTTATGAAGTTCGAAAATTCCTTCAAAAATGAAATTGCTCGAGATATTCGGATTCTTCGCAATGAGCAGTTGCACGAGTCACGAATAACACGTACGAGACAACGATAAGGCAACTCATCAAGGCAATGGCAAGCGATTAGAGACGATGCGAATCTCGGAATCGCGGCTCCAAAATTCAATTTCCCTCAGATAATTCATGCATATCGCCGAATCGCACCAGGGCGAGGCTCGCGAAGTCCATCAAAGCGACTCATTTCAGTTCGTATCTTTCTGCTTTCAGTAGAGAAATTCCCACGAAACCTTCGTCGCGAACAGATTATCATGTTCCCGACGCACTTCGAACGTTCCATCCGAATTGATTCGGCCGAGGCAAGGCCAAGAGCAATTACTCGAAGTAAATGGGAAATTGATGGCGGACCAAGGACTCCAATCCCTTCGGAGTCTTTATTCTGCCTGCTTCGTTCTCCGACGAAAACCTCAAACTTCTAGCAAAATCCCATTAATTGAGGGGGGAGAAAAGGGGCCTCCTTTGCAGGCATGCAGACGGCAAGCAGCGCTTGAAAGCGCACAAAATTCAGGGTTTCGTTTTCCTCGTGGTCTCGCTCGGGAGGTCGGGATTGGCCTCGAGGCGTCGCTCGTCGAAGACTTCAAGGGCCTCATCTCAAGGGCTTGGGCGAGCACAAGGTTGGGCGCCAGCGGTGGCCGTGGTCGCTGCAAACCCGATTTTCCTCAGCTGGGGTTATTGGAATATTCTTTTCTAATAAACCTGCCTGTATACTGAACGGAGTGGATCCCTATCGTGCTGGATGATGGCTTTCGAAAATATGTTTCTCTGAGAAAAGGCCTCAACTGCACGGAAAAAAATCCTCTCGAACCCGTTCCGATCAGGCTTGCTCGAGTACGTGGTCCCATTCAAACCAATGAGATATAATTCCTGCGAAGAAAAATCCCACTCCGAGCCGATCCCAAATCAAGATACTTCTTTATCGAACTTCACTCTTAGAAAATTCCGAGCGTTTGGGGAGTGAAAAGTGAGCACACCGTGAACTTTTTGAATTTACTTTCTTATTACTCACCAAATGCTCCCTCATCGCTCGTATAGAAGTGAGCACCTTGAAGTTCTTCGCCAGGCCACTAGATGGAGGTAAGGGTCTCGCTTTTCGCACAGTACACAATAGTGCACTTCCCTCTTTCTCTGGAATCGTCCCTCGCAGGATTGTTTAGTACTTTGCCATATGTCTCACCTAGTCTCATTATAGGAATCAATAAACACGGACACTTCATCGTTTGTTATCCACATATTCAAGACATATTCATAGAGTCCTTGCCATAAACAAGCTCATATTCCTATTGAGAACCCCCTAGGAACGCGGGTAATTTTATCCGCATAAGAGATCTAGAATACGTGGAGAGGGCCTGTGGACATCATTCCCTCCTACCTCAATTAAATGAGGTGATAAGGACTGATATCCTGGACTACTCCACGGAACCAATAGAGGT